GTGCTGGTGGCTGAGATGGACGAAGGGCAGCGCGTTTCTGTCGGTTGGCCTCGTTGGATGGATGGTGCCACGCATGTCCATGGTGCCCCTGCATGGACAGCGTCGCCCTCACCGGGCTGCTGCTGCTGGAGTGGTAGGGCCACCGATCGTGTGGCGGCGGGCATGGCAAAGTCAGGGTCGGTGACCTGCTCCTGGCGCGACGGACGGTGGACGAGGGGAGTCTGTGCGCCAGGGAGGGGCTCGGTGGTGCTGGGCTTGCCCTTCTCGCGGGGGCCGAACCAACTCTTGTACAGGCGGCGCCGAACCACATGGCGCCTGCTGGTGGGGCCGGGGGCGAGACGGTCTCCTCCGGCTGCTGCTCGGGTTTCTGCTCTTCTTCTGTCGATGTCTCTCGCTCGCCCTCCTCCTCAATCACGTCACTGTCTTACGCTGGTGGATCACACACACACACACACACACAGCACATGTGTCTTGGTAGACGGTTCGGTTGTCTGTCTGGCTAAGTGTGTGTCTGTGTGTGTGGACGTCCGTACCATCTATGCAGAGGGACGGGCTGCTGCTGGGGGCGCGCCTAACAACCCGCCCACCAACAGCCAGCAGCCCGCCCACATATCAGTGGGAGAGGCAGAGGGAGAAGGGGTCGGGGATGGTGAATCCACAGAGCCCCCACTCCTTCCTCCCCGTCGCCTTCTTGGGCGACTCCCACGCCCTGTGCGCCTCTACCCCGTTGGCAGCCACCATGTCGATGGCCTCCCCGACAAACTCCGACAACTCCACCTCCCACTCCCACTGCTTGTGCGCGGCCTCCTCGCCCCTCGCCGCCACCCTGTCGACCGCCTCGCCCACGTCAGTGGGGAGCGGCTGCTCGTCCCACCCCTCACCCACAACCCACTCACGCTGCCGGTGGTGGCTGCCCGACGACGCCGACGTCCCCACGCTCGTGGGCGACGAGGGCTCCGCCGCAGTCGTCTTCATCTTGGTCTCGCGGCGCCGTAGCGGCTTCGCCCAGGTGTCATTGTAGATGATGTTGCGGGACATCATCTTCGCCGCGTCGCCTGTCTCGTCATTCAGCAACGAATACTGACGGCACACACACAACATGCATCGCATCCACAGTGCCGTGTTTGCGCGATGATGTTCGTGTGCGTACGTTGTAGGGGCGGCGCAGTCCTTTGTCGATGAGGACGTTTTTGGCCTCGGTGATCTCCAGAAACCGCTTGTTGGCCTCCGCCACGGCCGCCGCGCCCTTGTGGTGGTGTTTGTCGGGGTGGTACTCCTGCAGGCCAGGCAGTGCAGACATGCAGGCAGACAGCAAAGAGAACCCTCGTGTGCGTGCCGCCCTTACTGGAACGTGACGTGTGCAGTGTGGCCCTCTTACCACGCTCAGCCTCTTGAAGGCGTTCTTGCAGTCCTCAATCGCCGCGCCCAATGGCAGCCGCAGCGCCCCATAGTGGTCCTTCAAACCTGACTTGCTCGTGGAGTGGTCCCACCTCTCACGGTACTCACTAGTCACGGGGTCTATCGTGTCAGCAAAAAACAGCTTCGGCATGATGCCACACGATAGCAGCACCAAAGCGAGCTTCGAGCTACGATCGCAAGCTTTTCTGTTGAAACCGCTGACGCTGCTTTTTTTGGAAAGGGAGATCTTGCCCTGCAGAAGACGCGAGAACGTTTGATCCCCTGAGCAGGTCCTGCCAGTCGAATCTGCTTGCGTTTTCCGTCCGCTTGCGGCGAGTCTGCCTGGGAGATGCCGGCAATGTCGCCATCATCAAGCAGCTCACACACGCTGTGACCATGGCTGCCGCGGTCGCTGCTCACCACGAGGGATAGGCAGGGAACACACGACACTCGTGTTCTCGCAGAGATGACACGAATGGCTCAGCTTGTGTGTGTGTTCCATTTGTGTGTCTTCCAGGTGCGTGCACATCGTGACGTGAAGAGCCTCTCCTTGGTTTTTTGAATGGACGTATTTGTGATAAGCCGTTGCTGCCCGCCAGGTAGATAAATGCACACACCGCCATTCAACCATCCATCCATCCATCCACCTGGACAAGCTGATTCGTATCTACGGTGGCGACACGTGGAGGGCCTTTATGGACCACCCCACCCTCTTCCTCTTCGTGCGCGACAAGACACATATCAACAGGTGAGCGAGTGGGTGGGCGCAGCATACCCCCATCCCTCTGTGAGTGTGTCTGAACACACATCGATTCACGTGTGTGTGGTTGTGTGGCAGGTGGCTGGACGGGACGGCCTTCGTGGGGTTGTGTCTGTCGTGTGTGGTGCTGTGGTACGGCGGGGCCAACCTGTGTGTGCTGTTCGCCATGTTGGCGTCGGCCAGCGGTTTTAGTCAGTGTATATGTGGCCGCCTCCCCCTTGCGTGGAGTGAGTAGCAGAAATGGTGGTGGGTAGGGGTAGCAATCAACATCCAGGTGTTCGCTGTCGAGGTGACAGGTGACGACACCGTTGGCTTTTTGCAGCGCTTGCAGGTGTGTGTGTAGTGTTTGAGTGAGGTGTCGAGTAGCTCTACATGGTGACCGGTCAATTCCCTGCCCGTCTCTATATGGGCCAGCAGGTGTGTATTGGTCTGCCCGGGGGTCTGCTGGTTCCATTCCCCTGTCTCATCTGGCTTGTTTGATTGCAAGACATGCTCGTGTTTGTACACACCCTCATTTCCATGACAGAGAGCGTGTGTGAGGGTGTGTATAGAAATGAATGACATACAAGAGTCGTTCGAGTCCGTAGGCAGCCACGCCAAACAAACCGTCAGCCAGTCCATCTCATCACACAGACATCCGTCCGGCTGGCACACAGACACACAATGGAATCCTTGCCGTGTCTCGTCTTGCCTTCCCGGCCAGTCAAGCGAAAAGCAAAAAGGAGGCCGTGCCGTGAGTGAGCCAGTGAGCCGACCAGCCGGCAGACAGACGAAAAATACACGAACCGACACAGCCCACTAAGAATGTATCACCCATCCACCCACCCATCCATCCATCCATCTCCCCTCGACCACATACCCCTCTTTTCTGTGGCGCACAGGTCACTTTCCTCCTTTCTGCTGCATCTGAAGACAGCTTGAGAACACCGTCGTGGCCCATGAGGCTGTCCGTGTCGGTGCAGCAGATGCCCGATGAGTCGACGGCAACTGCACCGCAGGCCTGCAGCCAACACACCCACACCACAACACAACGGCATGCGTACAGCGTCTTGCACCGATTCGCTCTCTGCCTTACGTACACGGGCATCTCAGCGGACTAACACCAACCGAAGCAGAGACAGAGGAAGGAAATATGCATCCTTTTCCGTTCGTTCCCCCTCGTTGTTTTCTCTTACCTCATCGTCGATGTCGTCCTCACCGTCGTCGCCCATGGGCTGCTGTGTTGCGTCGTCAAATAGCTGGTGCACTGAGGCCTGCATGACGGCGGAGAGAGACACAACACACAGAGGTCGATCGCATCAATCCATCCACCCATGCCCATCCTCGCTTGTATCGTTCCTGAGTATAGAGGAGCTGTGGCTGTGAGCTATTGTTGACGGGCGGCTGCTGCATGACACATTGGATGATGGATAGAGTCTGGCTCGTGAGTGTTCGCGTTCCCTATGGCTACTCGGAGTACCTGTGGTACAGCTGCGACGATGGCTGTGGGATTTAGCTGGTTGATGCGGTAGATCCATGACTGCACCACCCCTCCACCGCCACTGCCAAACCCCGCCATGGCCCCCACCTTGTTCGCCGCCTCACGGTGTACGTCCAGGTCGTAGTCAGCCTCGCTGCTGAGGCTCGCTGGGGTGATGGCGTTCACGAACGGGTGCAGCAGAAACTGAATGCAGATAGACACGCAGCCAACCAGCCATTCAGCCAGCCAGCCAGCGACGTCAAGATACACCCATCGATTGTGCTACAGTATGTGTGGGTGTACATATGTACCTGGGAGGGCTTCAGGTCATGTTTGGGGGCCAGCAGCAGGGCGGCGATGAGGTGGGTGGCCTCGGGTGAGAGGTGCACTCCAGCGGCGCGACCCTGGTCGTACACGGCACCGAAGGGGTCCTCCTGGAAGCGAGACACGACGTGCAGTAGCGCCTAGAAGATTGACAACACACACGCATGCAACTCACACGTATGCATGTCTTGTTGATTGTGTAGTCGGTTACATACCTGCCCCTTCACTGCGCTGCTGATGAGGTCGCGACCCGTCAGTATCTCAAACACACTACTTGCTGTGTGAGGGAAAGGTGCGCATTGAGAGAAAAGCATACGCAAAGAGAAAAACGATGCGCACACATGTGGCTTTCTCTGCGCATGTGTACGTGTGCTGTGGGTCACTCACCGACATCCCGCATCATGCCGTCTTCTTGGCGGGCGCCCTTGGGCCTCACACAGCGGTCACGCAACTCCTTGTCAATGAACGATAATGGCGGCCTGTCAGACACATACCGCACAGACACCAAACATGCATTCATTCGGGTGTTCTGATGGTGCGGCTCGTGTCGTGTGTTTGTGTGTATGTGGTGGCTGACCGTGCCGCCTTTGGTGCGATGTCTGCGGGGCTAAACAGGACCTTAGCACCACCGCCACGTAGCAGCTCCGCCGTGTCCACATACACACGATCAGTGGCGAGGTGGGGCCGATGGACCAAATCTCTGCATGAATGAATCGCATTGCGTCCAGCATTCATGTGTCCACGTGTGTCCCGTTCCGTACTTGCTGTCGATCTGTGCTGCGCCGAGCAGCATCGATCGGGCGAGCGCAGCAGCAGTTTGGTCAGTGCACCGCATGGCCTTGCCACGCCACCGAAACTCCTTCCTGGGCAGCACATCACACCAACACACACATGGCTGCGGGCGGTATATGGTGCGGTGTGGTGTGGTGCAGTGGGGCTTACGAGAGCCATTCCTTCAGTGTGGGCAGGTGCGGAGATGCGACGAAGGCGTAGAAGGTGTGGCCGTCAGGGCCCTGCATGTATTGGGGTCAATCAACAGAAATCTTCGGTAGTATTCTGGATGGCGTGTCAAGGTTACGTCCTGGTGGTAGCAGTCTGCCTTATGGAGGCAGCTCATCTCCTTCTCGAGCTGCTCGTACTTCATCAAAGTCTCACACACCTGGCCAGCCAACACACACACACACACACACACAGAGGGACACAACACATGCGCCCCCCCTCCCTCCCTCGTCCATTCAGCCGTGCGTACCGATGGTTTCGCCGCCTTGGGGAGCTGCATGCACGTGATGAGGAACGGCAGTAGCGTCGTCCGCTCTCCGGCCACCACGGTGGTCATGTTGTCCGCGTGGTGAACTACCTTCTCCCCGAACACACCGAACTGCATCAATGTCGCACCGACACACCACGGAAAACCATCCATGGCACGCCATCCCAGCCACATGGATCTTCTTCTCCCCGGCCCTCACCTGGATGTCGAAGCGCTCCGCCAGCGCCACGGAATACTGGTTCGGCAGGTTGTCGTAGGCGGCCAGGTACGGCACGGCCGAACTGAGCGTCCCTAGGGCCTTCAGGCGCTTCGTGTTCGCATACCGCCCGGCCGCCTTCTTGTTGGTGGTCAGCACCAGGGGATGGATGGATGGCTGGTGGAAATACAGCCATCTGGCGGACTCCAATAGCGGACTCCACATGGATGGCGCCCGCATCCGGTCCCCGCTCTCCTTTGCCGCCTTCTTGTAGTCCGCTGCAAATCCAGGTGCGCGGGGGAAGATGGGCACCTGGTTCTCCTGCAGGAGCTGCTGAGAGGGGCGGACTTATCGATGGACATCTTCGAGCTGAGGTATTTCTGTTCGGCGCTATAGGCCGCCATCCTCTCGGCCCGCACGTTATTTACGAACTTCGCCGCGCGGGCCGGGCCGGTTTCGCGGATCTCGCTGCGGCGTGTGTCGAACTGCTCACGTGTGCCGGACGGACGGCTATGGTGTCTGGCGTGTGTGAATTCGGGGGGACTCAGTGCCAAGCGCACACACACCCCCGCAGAACACGCACAGACGCAGGAGGAGGGAGTGGCCTCTCGCCTTACCGTCGGTTATTTGCGTGAGTGCATGTCCACGACTGGCCGGCGCATCCTCGATGTGGATTCACGTCTGCTGCATGATTTAATCATGCGATGTGGACATGAAGAATGCTCGATGGTTGGACGCAGTAAGCAATACTTCAACCACCCCCACCATCTACCAGGGGGGCTGGACGTGATCGACCAATGCATTGGATTGCTGATGGCCAGCCATCAGTGTATCTGGCTTCAGACTCCTGCTCACAAACTCTGTAGACACTTCTGAGAAGGAAAGATTGTTGAAGCATCCATCGTTGAATTCGTCATGCAGGCAGGCAGGCAGGCACCACTACACGTCATCGGCATCGCGTCCCCCACACATTGCAGGCCACTGAGGCAACGAAAACTGATCCGCCCCATGTCATGTTTGAACCAATCGCCCTCTTTATGTGTACCACCAACAGACCGACAGACAGACAGGCGAGAAAAATGGAGGAGTGGCGGTGGGGAGAATCAGATCGTGGGTGATATGGCTGGCTCATGTCATGCACGGCAGAGGGTGGGCTTGGTGGGGTTGAGTCAGTCTATCCGATAGACAGAGAGCAGGCCTTGCTGACCGACAGATAGGCAAGCAGGCAGGGGAAAATGTGGGTTGAAGGCGCACTCTCTGGTCGAAAGAACCGACCGTGCCCACCCGTGCATGGCATGAACACGAGCATGCACACGGGCACGCTCCTTCCTTGCCTGACTGTGGGACGGACGCGACGCCGTGTGAAAAATAGAGAGCAGCACACAGTCATACAGACAGACAGACAGACAGACATAGAGACATGGACATGCACACGTCACACAGACAGGGCCCGCAAGCCATCATTGATGGGTCCCTCCCTGCGCCAGTGGGTAAGTGAGAGAGTGAGAGAGCAAGACAGGTCGGCTGTACACGAGAGGAGGGAGGGGAGCCAGGCAGGTCAGGAGCCAAAACTGTTTGGTGTGTGCCTTGTGTTGTCGTCGACAAACAGCTGTCTCAATCAAAACAGCCACCACACCCACTCTCCCCTCTCCCCTCACTCACACCCGCTCTCCCCTCACTCGCACGCGCACAGTTGTAAAACTGACACAGCCAGCCATCCAGCCATCCAGCCACCCCCTGTAGGTATAACGACCGCGCGACTAACAAACGAGCAGTGTGCGCCATAGCGCACACCGTGCAACCAACCAACAGCTTCATGGCTTGCACACACACAGACAGCCCACTAGTGGTCGAGAAGGCAATGCAGAGAGCAAGCACCAACGCGCAGCTTGACCATGCACGGCCCCGTCCAGCTACGGTGCCGTGGGTTACTCATCTATGGGTCCGAAGAAGGCCCCCTGGTTGGCTTGTTTGGTCTGTCGCTGCCTGTTGCGCGAGACGTACCGGACCTTCTCGCTCTTGCGCCAGTCGGTGCAGAACCCGTCGTGGCTCTGAGAGAGAGGGACAAAAGGACCGAGACCATAGAGGGACATGCCATGGGGGTGGGTGGTGCCTGGCTTGTCAGCTGACCTCTTCGAAGACAGCAGGTGCCCCGAATCCGTTGTCGGCGCCCTCCACGTCCTCCATACGAATTAGTGCACGCACCACCGGGTTGTCCTGACACGACAGACACACAACACAGCCAACATTGCACACGCCAAGCAAGTGCTGCTGATGCACTTGTGCATGGCGGCCTAGCTTCCCGCCGCACTGGCCACGGATGTATGTACCCACCTGCATGTGTGGCAGCATGCCTCCCTGCAGGAAGCTCTTGAGCAACTCATACCGACAAATGGCACTCCACGTGGCGATCTGCATGAGCACAGCACGCCACACATGAAACCCGTCTAACTGTCAGTACGCGTGTGTGCGTGTGCATGTGCAGCCCACCTGCAGTTCTTTCCTGCGGCTGCCCATGTAGAACTTGAATGGACTGCACGAACCAGTCTGCAGGCCAGCCAAATCGACAGCAGAGACAGAGAGAGAGCATACGTGTCTGTCTGTTGGTCTCTGCGCATGCACCTCTGCCACTTCTAGTATCTGCCTAAATGTTGCGCGCTGCTCCTTCAACTCGTCCTTGGTCAGCCCCCGGGTGCGCTGGGTGTTGCTGCCGCCCAGCTGACGCAACAACGCCATCTCCTCACTACGCACCGCCTCCTGAGCCGCAGAGAGACCAACACAACAAATGTAGACAGAGACACACACGGGCAATGGATGGATGGGGGGGTGGGTGGAGGCGGCAGCGGATTTTGACTGACCAGCTCCTGGAGGGTTGTATCTGAGTCCTCCGCCCTCCACTTGGCCTCCAACATCAGCGCCAGCGACGACCCAGCCTGCAGTGGACACACCGGACACAGAGGGACGGAGGGATGCCATGAGTTCAAGGACAGTCATGGAGGGTCTGCGCTGCAGGTGTGTTCGCCTACCGTGCTGCGCAGGTCGACGCTCTGGCCGTGCAGGCCACGAAACGCCAAATCCCACAGGTCGGATGCAGGACTGAACAGCACCATGACACCAGAAGAAACAGTCGACAGGCGATGATGCGACAGACATCACCATGGGTATGCGTACCTCTGTGTGATGTCAGCGAGGTCCCGTGGCGGCTGCAGGGAGGAGAGCAACGTCCACCCATCCAGAATGCCCTCGCACTGAACCGACTCAGAATCGCCCTCCTTCTCCTGACATTACCACCACCACCACCAGCCAACCGCTCATTTGGGCCCGCGTCAAATGGAATGGCATGTGATTAGCTCATGTGTTTCCCTCCCTCCCTCACCGTCTTTGATAGGTCGATGTGTGCCGCCCGTGCGCGCATCCACTCGACCATCTCATGCACCTTGGTATCGTCATCGCACCCTAGGAACGCCATGAGGGCCAGGACTGTTGCTATGCGGCTCTTGACCTGAGGGCTTCGCTGGCTGGCGTAGCTGCGCTGCACGTTGCCGACGCAGTACTGAAACCAACACACAACACAGCGAATGGGTGAGGGCGGGGATGGATGATGGGAGTAGGCTTTTGCTATGCCTACTTCGTATTGGCCCGCAGAGAGGGCCGGCGATCCCAGAGTAATCAGCACCACACCCAACACGTCACACGCCAACACAGCTGGCCCCAGGAGCAACACAAACACACGCAATCCATCCTCTCATCGTCTCCTTCATGCTTCCTCCCCTCTCTCCCTGCCTCCCAACCTCACCTTCTTTGGCGTCCCCCTTCTTGATGCACCCGCACAGCCGACTGAGGATGGTCTCTGTGCATCCCGACACCACCTCATCGGCATACTCCTTACGCAGCAGCTTCAGGGCGCCATCCAGCGCCGCTATCCGAGTGCTGCCCCGTTTGGCCGCCAGCTGCTCCAGGAGCTCCTCAAAGCTGCCCGCTGAGCCAGTGGTCGACTCCTCGGCGCGAGGGGGTGAGGCGTCTGAGGGAGCCGCGGTGTCCCTGGTCTTGCTGAAGAAGCCAAACTCGGATGGCTCCTCGTCCTCGAACTGCCCTCCCATCGCCCCAATCGTCCTCTCGGTCCTCTCGGAGCTGCATATTCGCACACACGAAGGCAAGAGATGGGGGAGGTCCCGGCTTTGCGACTGGGCCTTGGTAGGCGTACCAGTAGGTGCTATCGCTCAGGTAGTCGGTGTCATTCTGCTGTGGCGTCCGTTGGCGCTTGGGCTTGCCCTTCGGCATTGTGCCGCACTATCCTCACAAAGCACGTCCAACTAACACAACCACATGGTCTCTCCTATGCCTCCTGCTCATGCAAACCGTCGCTCGTTTTTTTCAAGCCAGCCAAGCTCGCAGAGGAGATCGCGGGAAGTGGCAGACTCTCTGCCCGCCGTCAGTCGCAGTGACCGACACAACGGTGACAAAAAGAAGGCAAGGATGGTTGCGTTCCCTCTTGAATCGTTTGCCAGCGTGAGCTGTCGCCGCCAACACGTCAAGGCCATCGTTGCACATCCAGGAGGTGACCTCTTGGCTGTGTACAACCATGGTGTCCTCCGCATATCGGCCGACAATGAGGCCACCCCTCTTGCTGGCGGTGACAGGCCTGGCTCGGCAGGTCGGTGAGGGGCAGTCTGGGAGGGAAGGAGGGAGGGAGGGACCCGAACGGGAAGGCATTCGTACATGGTTGTGTTTCAATGTCTGTCTGTGCAGATGGCTCTGGGACTGAGGCGAGGTTCACGGCTCCATCGAGCATCGCAGTTGCCCACGATGGGAAGGTGCTGGTGACCACCACGGAACCGCCCCGAGGTGCCCTGAGGGTGTTGTCGGTGGATGAGGGTGTGACGACGACGACAGTGAGGGCCGCCACCGGAGGGCTGGCCATCCACAAAGGTAAGGAAGGATGTAGGCAGTACACAGACACACAAGCAGGCAGGAAGGATAGATAAGTCGGTCACTGATGGGTGAGTGGGTGTATGTGTCGGGGGCTCAGTTGTCGAGGCCATGGTGGTCATTCGTCCTCGCAGGACATCAGTGTCGAGCATTTTCGCGGACCGTGTCGTCCTCAAGTCCTCCGACGGCAGCCTTTACCTGTCCTCCTGGAATGGTGAGCGTCAAGACAGTCAGTGATCCCTGTCAGTCATACACATGACTTGACTGCTATGGCCTGGTCTCTGCTTAGGGTCGGCGCCGACTGAGCCCATCATGGTTCGGGACGGCGTGTCTGTGCGTCTGCCCGCATCCGACACTGACCACAAGGGCCGCATTATCTTCCTCGACGACCAGGGGAGACTGATGGCCGGCACTCTCATGCGCGACGCAAGGGACGGCGGCCTGCACTTCCGCCTCGACACACTCGCCCAACGATCCCAACTGGCGGCCGCAGGCGTCGACACTGCACATATGGCCATACCGTCAAGTGGCCCCGGGTCGCGGCCCAGCACGAGTCGGTGGGTGAGCGAGGCGATAGTGCTGGGGAAGAGCGGCGAGGCAGTGTACTTGGTGAGCAGCCAGCAGGAGACCCTCTGGCGGGTGGACTTGCGTGACAACATCCCCGCGTCCCACCGGGTGCTCGCCCTGTTGGATCTGCCGCAGCGGCTCAACCTGCCGTCGATGAATGTGCACCTGACCGTCAACTCGGCCAGCGGCGACATTTTCCTCGCTGCAGTGCACCGCGAGGACGGGTCGTGCGCCATTCACCGCATCAAGGAGGACGCCCAATGCGGCGCGTCATGCGACGTCGAGGGGCCGACGTCCTTCATGGAGAAGATGCTGACGAGTGGGCCCTTCAGTGACGTCCGCTTTGTGCTCAACAACGGCGGGGAGCTGCACGCACACCGCTCTGTGCTGGCGCTGAGAAGTGACTACTTCGCTCGCATGTTCACCAGCGGTGAGTGAGGTGGTGGGTCTTCACACGAGCGCATGGAGTGGCCGTTTGTGTCGTTTGTGTGTTGGTGTAGGGTTCTGCGAGGGTCAGGGCGACGAGACCGTCATCGAGATCACGGAGAGCAGGCCAGCCGTCGAGTCCCTGCTACGCTTCATGTACAAGGGGACCCTCGAGCTCTCAGCCCCCGACGCACACCCAGACGCGCCGTCAGCCGATGTGTTCGAGGTGTACTGCCTGGCCCACCGGTATGACCTCAAGGGCCTCATGACGCTGTGCCTCAACTACATCCGCCACCGGTTCAACAAACACGAGGTACTGCAGCCACGTGGGCTGCATGTCGACGAATTTAATTCGGAGGGCGACGCGGCCATGGGGAGCCAGCATGACGTGTTCCCCCGCCCCTGCCCGACGGCCTGCCGTGAGTGGATCGCTGGTGGCAGGAGGGAGAGGCATCACGAGCAGGACAAAGGGGACCCATTCGGCGAAGCTGTTGACCTGTAAGTCAGGAACGGCCCTACTCACGAAGAGGCGAGACAGCGCCCTGTGCTGGTGTTTTGCCTTGGCCGCCCTCAGGTGTCTGCGTGCGCACCAGCATGGGTTTGATGAGATAGTGGAGTTCTTCGTCAAGTGGCTCCATCGTCACTTCTCCCGCGTCCCCGAGGCGGCCTTTGAGCGTCTACAGGCAGCGCCATCCGTGCTGCTGCAGCTCATCAAGCGGCTTCAGAACCAGCCGAAGCCGCTACACACACACCACAGCAGCACCAGCAGCCGCCACTGGTCCGCAACCTCCCCTGGAGCCTGGCGGCCGTCTCTGCCGACTGGCAGCCACCGCAGGGCTTCCAACAACGAGATGATGCCACCATTGCGGCCGTTCCGTGCCGACCAACTGGGCGATGATGACGACGAGAGCGCCCCCATGGTGCGGACTTCGCGGACGCTGCGGCGTGTGAGGCCGTCCTCCTCGCTGTCTTCATCGGACGTGTCGCCTACCAACAGCAATGTATGGGTGTCGGGTCCGTCTGCTGATCTCTTTGTGGGTGTCGGCATGGGGCTGGGGAACGCTGGCGGGCAGCCGCAGGGGCGGCCGAGGTCTGCCAGGGAGAGGGGGGGCGGGGATGAGGACCGAGACGAGTCGGTGTCATCACGCAGAGCCGACATGTGAGGCAAAGGAGGAGAGGTCGACCTCACCAGGCGGAAACGGTCGGCCTTTTCTTCCGCAACTTTTTGGACAGCGGTGACTGTGGCTGGTGTTCTGTGAAAGTGTGTGACGTGTACTGAGGGAGGGGATGGAACAAGGTGGGCCGTCAGCCCCCCTGACACCGATGCGTTGCCGGCGTTGCTGGTGGGGCTCTCGTCTGTGCTGTGCTGATGCCGAACTTTCCCTCGCAGTAAGTAGCGTCGCTACTGGACCAGTGTGTCTGCAAGCACGGAGAGGGATGGGTAGCAGAGGGACAGAATGACAGGCCCTCTCCGTGGGCTACTCCATGGGCTTTGGTGGACGCAGATTGCATGCAAATGTGATGGATGCATATATGTGTGGATGGGATGACTCACACACAGGTGCAATGTCAGTCATCGGCATAGTGTCAGGACAAATACACACGTGACACCACACAGACCAAGTAAGTCGCCTCTCACAAATCACCCATCGTACAGGACGCACCAGTCCCACACGCAAAAACCCTCATGTGGGCGGCCTTTCATCCTCATCGCCGTCGTTGGCCGCCTGGTCCGCCCAGAAGACGATGCTCCCATCGCGGTGTGCCGTGATGAGCTTGCCGAATCGCCATGTCAGCGAAGTCACCTGCCCGACCGACGGCACCTTGCGAGTCGCGTACGGCTGAAGAACGGAAGACAACGACACGCATCAATGAAGGCAGCCAGGCGGCCACACCGCATGTGCCATACACACTCACTTGTCCGCTGAGTGCATTCCAGAAGACCAGCTCGTCCCCATCGCCCCACGGAGACACTGAGACAGACGAAGACACAACAAGAGATGAGTGAGGGTCAGGCCATGCATCCCGCTGTGTGTGTTGTGTGTGTGGTGTACCGATCCAGGCGCTGTCTGGCGACATGACGGGCGCCGGCTTGCGATATCCCGACCGGCCCCCCTGAGGCTCACCAAGCTGCTTCATCACACGAAACATGCGATCGTTCGACATCTTCACCACACACCCACACACACACACACAAAACAGCGACATGAACTACCCAGGAAGGATGGTTTCCCGTGCGCACAGTCTACTGACATGGACGGAGTTGTCTTTGGCGCAGCTGACGATGTACTCGCCGTCGGGCGAATACTCAATGCCAACCAACTGCAGGCGCAGACAGACACAGAGAGAGAGGCGTGAAGTGAAAGACGACAGGAGTGACTCCCATGCACTAGATCTCTCATCTGGCGGTTGTAACGTTACCTCGTCTTCATGTGCCTGCATGGACTCCACCTGCTGACCTGCACAACACACAAACAACACAAACCACGTGTCTGCCGCCACTTGCCTTGCCTGCCTGCCTTGGTATCTCTCTTGCTTTGCGTGCGTACAGTCGTCGCCCCTGAGAGTCCACTTGATGATGTGCCCGTCGCGGTGGCCGGTCACCAGACAGTCCGACTGGTGCGGGTGGAGGGACGCACAAGTTATCATCGAGATGGCATGCGCCTGAATTGATAGATAGAAGGGGGTTGGACAGAAGGTGGAGCATCACAGTGGCTTGCGGGTGCACTGACGGTTTTGACGCAGACGGATCTGTGTATGTTCCATATCTTGATGGTCTTGTCCGCACTCGCACTGTAGGCCTGACGCACACGAGGACAAAAGACAGACGCACGAGTGAGAGCAGTGGAGGCAGCAGCACAGAGTCTGCTCCACTATGGGCCACCTTGAATGGGCTGTTGAGTGTGGTGTAGCCGCAGCGCAAGATCTTCTGCGCATGACCTTTCATTGTGCACTGAGACCGCTGCGCAATACATACATACACGGCGACAGACAGACAGACAGACAGACAGCCATGGGTGGACACATGGCCGCCTGGCCTGGTTATGTCAACCGAAGAAGCTAAGCTCACTTGTCTGAACAGGTGCACGTGTTGTATGGAGTTGTCGGTTGCGGCTGCCAAGCACCAGGTGTTGTCGGATGACAGGCCCACGCTGCTGACGCCAAAGCGGCTCGACAAAGCAGGGAAACTGTACAAGGTCGACTCTGATACACACAAACAGACTTGCGTCCGCATATGACACGAGGACGGCTGGCAATGCTGCCTGTCTGGTCAACCAGTCTGGCCACTCACTGACCGTGTCTGGCGTCGATGCAAGCGAGGTATCCGTCCACACTGCCCGTGAGCAGCAGCTGCTGGGGCGTCTGGTGGGGGCAGTAGTTGGTGTCCAGCGCCTCTATCGACCCTGTGTGGCAGCGCACACTCCGACCTGCCATCTTGGGCACCTGCGCACACACATATGAAGATTACTCCTAGGGTAAAACCATGCCCGTCCCGTCCCGTCCCGTCCCGTCATTCATCACTGCTTGCTTTGTGTGTGCCTGGCCTGCCCTGCCTACACTGATTCGTGGCATGTTGATGGGTCCGAGTATCTCAGAGAAGTCCACCGGCTGCTTGGCGCTGGCCGGGCTCCTCACGCCCACGGCCCCTACGTGTGTGGACCGCCTGGCCACCTCTATCGGCTGGCTGCCCTTGGCCGCTACTGCGGCCACACCCTCGGCAGCGTTGCGCTGCAGCTCTTCCTGGTGCGTCCGCATGATCTCGTTGAGCATCTGATTCATCTCGTTCATCTTCTCGGCCTGATGACAAGACGGGACAAAACGGGACAGAGAGAATGCACCTGAGTGGTGTGGACGGGCGGGCTGGCTGGCTGGGTGTGTACCTCGTGTTCTTTGAGGTGCAGCAGGTCGGTGATGAGCCGCTCGTTTTCATTCACCTTGGCATCAAGCTGCCTGGCGATCAAAACACAATAACATCGTGGTTGTCTGTACCGTACCGGATGGTCAGCATAGCATGCATACTGTCCGCACTTTTGCAGTTCGTTTCGCTGCTCCTGCAGGGCTTCATGCTCTGTCTGCAGCACCTGATACGTGTCCAGCAAAGTCCTGTACTCGGACATCTGCACGCACAACCACGGGAGGACTGCTGTGAGATCTACCTAATGGATGTCCTCTCCTGTGTCCGTTTGTGCTGACCTTGGTTTCGATTTGTGCGTCCCTGTCTTTGAGCTCATCCTCCCTGTCCTTCAGCAGCTGCTTCGTCGCCGCTTGCTCCATCTCGATGCGAGCCAACTGACGGACACAAATGCCGTTGACAGACACGGTATGGCTCATTTGTTGAGCACGAATCACTCATCGTGCGCGTGCCTTGTTTCGCAGGTTGGTGAGCTCTTCGACGACGCTTTTCTTCTCTCTATAGTTGTGTGTGAGCTGTTCGTGCAGGAGCTGGATCTTGTCATTGAGCACCCTTGGGTCCTCTCCCCTCCCGCCCTCCGACGCCTCACCATCGCCCTCTCCAAGCGGGAATCCCCACGGACCCAACGTGGGAGCTTCCTTCAGCTGCTGGTCTGCAGTCCGTCACAAGCATACAAAACACAAACACACACCATACCAATCCCAATGAGGAGCCAGTCATTGGTGTGGTTGGCTTACATGCTTTCATGAGATCTTTGAAGCAATCCATCTGTGTCCTGTCCCTCTCCCTGACTTTGGCCATGAAGTCTATCCGCCACGGAGCATCTTTCCAATGCTCCTCCTCCCCTGCTTCCTCAGCAACAGGACGATCTGGCGCTGCCGATGCCGCTGTTGCTGGTGATGGCTGAGGGCTACTCGGAGCTTCTGGAGAGCTCGCCGCTGCTGCTGCCGTGTCCTCCTCAGAGATCTCTGCCATCTCCAGCCTGTTTCTGCGAGCTTGGGGGCGTTTCTTCTTGGACTTTCTCCCCCCTCGTACATGGCGGTCTATCCCCTCATCCCCCACACGAACACAGCGGGCCCCATCTCCTTCGATCGGATGCAAACAGAGTCAGCGTCACGGCCATTTGTTCATCGCTATGTCACTGAGTCGTTCTTGACGAAATCATTTGAGCAGAAAATGAGGCACTCGGTTGTGGAGTTCGCGGTCCCGCCAGCGCGGGAAAACAGAGCTCGTGTAGGCAAAACGCAAACGCTTCCTTATTTCCGTTGGTTCGTTCGTTTTGCTCGTGCAGTCATGTTCGATGGTTACTTCTCGTCGTGAGCTGAGGGCCATCACGCCGACCAAGTCCTTGCCGCCGAAGAGCCCTCAACTGAAGGGCATACTGGCAAGGAAGGCGCTCGGCACCGCAACGGATGATGAATATGCTGAGGAACTGGACATCAACACAGCCGCAGGGACAGAGAAGAAAATTGCGGCTCTCGGCCCGCAGATCAGTGACCTCACGGAGGCACAGCTCAACAGCGATTACCTTCTCAAGAAGCAGAAGTCGCTCGTCAACAAGATGCCATACGGAAGCCTCCTTATCTCCCTCTTCGCGCTGGCTGGCGTCGTGAGCCAATACGTCTTCTCTAGCGCGAAGGACGGCGAGCTGTCGACGAGGGACTTGGCTGGGGTCAGCGTGGCTCTGAGGGCGGTCTTCTGGTCGCTGGGAGCCCAGGCAGTCATCGGTCTGGCTCTCTTTGTCTTCAGCGTGGCCGCCTCGAAGCGAGAACGGCTGCGACCGGTGGGCGACTATTGCTTGGGCGGTGGGCTGCTGGGGATATTTCTCTTGACGGGCATGTTCGGTGACTGTCGTCGGGCGGCCGTCTTTATCAATCGTCAAAGCTGCAGTAGCCTACGGGAAGAGGTGAGAGCCAGGCAGGCAGAGGGGCATGACTGCTACGATACGATCTTAAGTAAACGGATGTGGTTTATGTGCAGCGGTATTGGATATTTGACAGCTATGTGTTGGGCTGGATGCTATCGCTTGTCACTGCATCGTGCACTCTTCTGCCCATGCGGTAGGGACGAGAACGAGACACAACTCGTAATCTAGTGTGTCTCCCGCACTTGTCGTCACGCAGTAACCGGGTAGCGGCCTTCATTGGTGTGAGCTCGATCACGTGCTATTTCATCACAACCTGGGTGGTCTTCATCACACGATCATTCGGCGGGGGCTTCGCCATCCTCGCTCTCAACTCCTCCCTGTTGGCTGTCTCCGTCTGCCTAACACTCGTCGGCCGCCGTAAAGCTGAGCGGCAGGACGAATTCAATTTCAGGCGGATTTGCAAACAAGAGGTCTGGTCACAGCACATGTACGTGAACAGACAGCGAGGCGTCCGTATGTGGCAATGAGCTGGTGCTTCTCTGCTGTGCGTGGTCTCTTCTTTCAGCACGACATTATTATGCTGTCTCGTCACCTGAACAATCTGGAGGAAACCTTTTTGTCTCCGACGACCAAAAAGGATCGCGCCTCGACTGTTTACGAAGTCCACATGGATAAACTTCGGAAGGTAAAAGTGTACATATCCATTGGACAAGCAGTCAATGACCAGAGAGAGCCTGGTCTCTGCGTGTGTCGTTCAGATAATGAAGCGGCTTGAAAGCCTTGCGCATGTGATGGAGGCACTGGAGAATCAGCACCTGGACGCCCTCGACAATGACATTAACGCCAGCGCCCGCAGCATTGCGCCCCTGTTTCCCTCCCTCACAAACGATCCTCTTCCCAGTACGTCGTCTGCCTTCACCGGGAGCAGCAGCGGCAGGATGAAGGACGTCAAAATGAAGGAAGGTGCGAAGAGCTCTCCCATTCCATCAAGAAGGCACTGGATGTCGTGGAAAGAGTGGCTCAGAGTCAATGCTGAGAAGATCAGGCCCTCCAAGAAATTAAGACGAGTCGACAAGAATAGGGCATTCAAGCTCCAGTACAAGAAGGTGTGGAGGTGAACGATGGGTACTGAGACAGTTGCCAACTGACATAATTCCAGCCGATGGGGATCTGTTGTGCAGACGGTGTTTGAGCTCCAGCAGTTGGGTCAGCAGATGAAGCTGTCGCTGGCCGCATTATCACACATCGACACAATCATGGACGTCAAAATCAGCCCGGCACAGGCAAGCACTCCAGTGACAGAGTGTGTGAATGACACTCGATCGAGATTCACGTGGCTGTTGTGTTGTACGTACGTAAACAGGGTGTGAGCGGTTCCGACCCGTCGAGCGACGACCCGTATATCATGGATTGGGTTGCCACCAACTTCATGCGCAGAGAGGGGCAAGACTACCTCAACACAAGCAAACGATCGCTACGGAGGGCGTCCATCGCAAGTCAGACACTCACCCACCCACCCAACCAGCTACCACGAACCAAAGAATCAAATGAAGACATCTTGGCCGTGCCTGTGTCTTTCCTTTTTTCCAGCAACGGACAGCACGTTAGCGCAGCACGGTGGTCCCGTAGGTAGGAAGCAACTCAGTCACCGATTGAGTATACTCTTCCCATGAGACTTTGTCTCTGCTTCAGTTTTCGGTGTGAGTTTCGCCGTTACGGCCAACCATAGCTCTGCGCCGGCGGGCCAGGCCGCCGAGACAGCTGACGTTACCGGGGGAATGCTGCAAAAGATGCCCTCGACCAAGCATCTGGTCCCTCTCAGAAACGAAGCGCGCCAGGCACCGGAGTCGGCAGAAAAGCGGCTCGAGACACAGCAAAATAGAGAGGAGAGGGTGCCCGCGGCTCAGCAGCTGCAGGGCGTGCGCACGCCGATGTCAGACAACTATGCTCCCACGGTCAACTCCCAGGCAGTACGTGCTGTCCGTCGTGCCCTCCTGCGCCAGCTGCAAGAGACGCCCAAGTTGGCCAGAGACCCCGCCATGTCCGTTCCCCGGGCACAGACCGAAGGCGTCTTCCGGCGGGGCTCTGCCCCTGATGCACGCCAGAGTGAAGCTATGATCCCCAACAACCAGAATGACAACCACATCGGCAACCACCCACCGCATCCGAGACGGCACTCCAATCCAAGGGAGTCTGTCGCGGACTCTTCAGCGGTCGAGGTGATTGTGGACCATACTCCCACGCCGGTGCGTCATCGAACAGAGCAGGCCACGCCTCCACAGCCGTCAAAAGCCGGGCAGAAGCTGGCGGTCCGCGCAGTGTGGAACCCCTTTCGTCGGTCGCCCCCTCCCTCCCCCTACGCCCATTCCGACTCGTCATTACCAGCCACAAGCAGCCCTCTGACGTTCCTGCGCACGCGTCTCTTTCGCGGAGGCGAGAAGGGCGTGAGGCATCCGGGACTGCAGTTGGACACATCAATCGGCATCCCCATGAACTCACCAACGCCCTTACGCCCCGCAAAGCTGAAGCACAGCGGCAAGAGAGAAAAGGAGAAGTCGCCGCCACCGCAGGAGCAGAGAAGACGGGTGTCCAACAGGATGAAGCGCTTCCAGGCTGGCACCAGGAGGTCAGAGGGGGACGCGCAATCCGTCTTAGGGAAGATCGGCAGTGCAGAGGGGAATGCCAAGAACTCCACCAAGAACAGCCCCTTGGACTCGGCGCAGCACCCGAGACTCTTTCAGTATCGCCATTCGTCCTCATCTGGTGAGTCAATCGGCAGCGAGGCCCACGCTACGGTGGTCATTATGGGAAGCGACACACACTTGGAGAGGGAGACGGCCGCCACGGCAGCAGAGAAGGGTGGACCTGAAGCCGTAAGAGAGTGTATTCCCCTCCCGCCCTACCACCCGTTCGTTTCTGATGAGGTCAAGGCCAATGTCCTGGCATCGGCTGACTTTCGCATCCTGCGTCTCGATGACGAGTCCCCTTTACAGTCACCGATCCGATTGGACGAACAGAGGAAGACCGGCCCGAGAATCGCACCGGGCACTGCCAACGGTAGCGATGAAGCTGGGCGGACGATCGCTCCAGATTCCCTGGAAGCAGCGACAGAGACGACCTGCTTTGGGCCCCTGTACCCCTATTTGAGTGTAGCAGTGCCGAGTGTCCTCCCACACCCCGCACCAGAAGATGCCAACCAAGTCAGCAGCGATGCACCGGTACGCAACTAGCAGCCACCCAAACACATGATAGCCGACCGTCTGAATCGGTCTGACGCGTCCCTTTCTCTCAGGAGCGTCTGTTCAAAGCCAATGGGCGCCACTACGTTGTAGATCCGAAAACAGTCAGGGCCCGCAGCGGCCTTTTCTTGCCCGTGGACCTCTTTGAGCTCTGCAAAGTGTACGGCATTGGCGAGAACTGGAACGCATCGGTGTTGGGCTTGGCAGGTCGAAGCCTTAACCACTCTCTTCTGGCTGTGGGCACGTATCTCTTGGCTCCCGTCATCTGTGACCGTGATGAGCTGGGCGAACGGGCGCCGCAGCTGATGCGCTTCCTCCACAAGATCACGTGAGGCAGGGGAGACACGGGGAAAACAAAAAGAATCCAAACAGGAGTGATCGATGTCGTGTCTGCAGGGAGACTTATTTGAACAATCCCTACCACAGCGAAGCGCATGCAGCAGAAGTGTGCCACTCCACAGTCGTCCTGGCGAGAATGCTCAGGGTGCGTTCATCCACAGTACAAGCTCTGGAACCACGTGAGTGTGTCTCTCTTTTTTTCTTGTGTAGGTGTGGGACAACCTGGATATGTTGGGTCAGTTGTCGCTGCTGCTGAGTGCTCTCTGCCATGACGTGGGCCACGTCGGACGGAACAATGCATTCCTCATTGCGGCCTCGTCGGAGCTAGGTCGGCACTAGCCTGCCACTGTCTGTCTCTCGTCCTGTCACCTGTGTCGCTTCCCCTGTGTAGCGATCATCTACAATGACAAGTCGCCTCTTGAGAACATGCACGCATCAACCACATTCAAGGTTCACATTCGCATAATTGATCAATAATGGATCAGGCTCACGCGAGCAGCGTTCCTGTTTCTTTGTAGCTGTTGAGTGATGACAAGTGTGATTTCGTGGATGCCCTGTCGCCCGCCGATCGCGCCACCTTCCGTCGATATGTGATCGACCTGATCCTGCAGACGGACATGCAGATGCACTTTGAGGAGGTCAGCAAGTTCAGAATAAGGCGGCAGGCGGCCGACTTCGATATGGTTGAGTCCGCTGCCGACCGCTGGCTCACTGCGCGGCTCATCATGAAGGTGAGACAGACAGACAGACAGGCAGACAGACAGCAACAGAAGGCGCCTTGCGTGTTCTCATTGTCGTCTTTTCCTCCATGCAGGCTGCGGACATCGGTCACAGCTGCAAGACATGGGCGCAGCACAAGCGATGGAGCTACCTGATCGTACACGAGTTCTACCTCCAGGCACGATAGCCATCCTTCCCACCTGTGCATGCATCACATGTTGACATGTCTCCATTTCGTGTCTCGTCTGCAGGGCGATGAAGAGCGTGTACGGGGCATGGAAGTGTCCCCACTATGCGACCGGCAGAATGCTGCCGACCTGCCAAAATCACAAATCGGCTTCCTCGGATTCGTATGCAGGTAGTCTTCTTGCTCTTGAACATCCGACATAGTCGCGGGCATTGTGTCTTGACTGATGTGTGGCAGGCCGTGCTTCGAGGAGCTGCAGGCATTGGACACGAGCGGCAGTATTGCTAAAGTATGCCTTGACGAACTACAGGAGAATAGCAGGAGGTACCCAGCGCCTTCACGACACGCACATTGATCGCAGCACATCATTTCTTCCTTTGTGGTCTGTGTCATCAGGTGGAGTGTGGTAGAGACGGCGATCGAGAGCAAACGAGCCTTCCACCCGGACGGCGACCTAGTACCGCTGCCATCCAAAGAGCTGCCGTCCCCACCACAGTTGTCTCCCAACAACAGCTCCTCACCCAGCCACGACGGCAACCACGAATCATCGTCGGCTTCGGCCTCCCTCAACGCTGACGAAAGGGAGGGTGGGCAGCGGGAGGTGCGCGTGACGCCCAGTGCCCGGCTCGTACACAAGACGAGGGAACAGGAGAAGGACAGGGCAACATGAGGCTGTAGCAGACGCGATTCACGTGGGGGAGGGACTTCTTCGGCCACCGCCTTTATGCCCAGATGCTCCGTCTATTTTTCCCATTTGGGCCGAGTGTCCCTGCCTCACGTCCAGCATTTTTCTCAGGAGAATTGTCTCTGCGTATGGGCGGGTAGCTGGGGAAAGAAACGGCTCGTACGTGTCTCGTCTTGCACTCAATCGAGAGCTGCGTCTTTTTTGCTCTATGGGCTGTTTTTTGCAGCCATGTCCGTTGTTTGGAAATGATGATGAATTCGAATGAATTCAGGTTGTGTTTATAAACACGTCTTTTGGTCTGCGACACGCGTCTGTGGGTGGCTAGCCATGGCTGTGGCAGGCGCTGTCCTTTCTTGCTCGGGGTCGTGTTGCCTATGTCTCTCATGTTGTCCGGTTCCGATGCTGCGCGTGAGCGCCGCGTGCAGTGTCTGGTGTATACATCCGTAGCTAGCTGCATGTATGAATGCCCACAAGTGACGGACACACTCAAACAGCAGGCGATAGGCTTTACTTGATAATTCCTACTCACCTAAGTACTTTGAATACGCCATCCATCCGTCCAGCCAAGAAATCATCCATCCATCCATGCACCCGTTGATGCCCAGCAGTGACTCAGTCACCCACCCGACGGGCAATGGCAACTCAACGACATGTCCTGGACGACCCGAGCTCGCGCGCGGGGCATAGTGCAATCGATTGTGCCAACCACGCATTTTTTACTGCAAGGAGGCGATCTCGCCAGAATTTTATATCCTGTGGAGAGTTTTGACCATGAACTCGTGCGGAAGAGTACGCCGTGACTTGTGCACATTTGGATGAGTACGTGGGTACTCATGAATCCAGTTCCTTCGCCTTCTGTCATATGCACGTCTCACAATGGGAGGGAAGCGACATATATGCACATCGCACATGACAAGCTCAGTCTATGACTTCTTCTTAAGGGCGTGCTGATACATTTCAGCCAGGTCCTGTCTCCCAACTTCCTTCAACGCATTCGCCAACGACGCGCCAGCCCTCAACTGCACCAAATATGGACATGGTGTCCTATGTGCATTACATATGTCTCCGGTAAGTGCATCGCACCTCTTCTTGAGTAAACCTCCTGGCGCTCTTGCTCTTGGTCATCCTTGCCAGCTGTTCCTGGCCCCAGCTGCTGTCTCTCCTCTGCTGCTTGTGTGCACCGCTGGCTGGGCTGCTGGAGCTCAGCAACGCACCCTGCTTCTTGAACGCTTGAGGGGAGGCCGGTATGCGGATGCGGGAAGGGCTGACGGCGGTGGGCACGGCGAAGTCCGCATCCGACAGGATGACATTGGCAGGCGGCGAACGGCTTCTTGTCTTTGACGAGGGACCGTGTTTGGCTTTGCCCTTATGTTTAGGAGGGGATAGGCTAATTGAGGTCCGAGTAAGCAGGGCGGCTTCAGGGGGCACTTCCGTGGCCGCTCGGGATGAGGGACGGGTGACTCCCTCCTCTGTCAGCTCCTTGGCCATCTGCACCTTCCGCTTGTCCTCCTTGTCGCGCTGTTTGACGTCAAGAGGAAACTTCCAGTGAGCGACAATCCCTGAGACGCACACATTATATGCACAGCGTGTCATGTCTCTCCTGTCTCCCTCCCTCTCTCGGCTGACCTTGCCTGAGCGACCCAAGGTAGGTGCCGTCCTTTATCGACCACATGTGCACTGCCAGGTCCTTGCCGCCTCCCACGGACAGCAGACAGGGCATCGCCGTCGAGTTGCACGCGTGCAGCTTGGCCACTCCTCCCGTGTGAGCCTTGCCCTTCCACCACACGAAGTTGACCTCAGGCCTGGTGCGCAGCAGGTCTTTGAGCGACGGCAAGGCAGCCGAGAAGATTGATGCGGCACGGATGACCTTTGTCAGCGTGTTTAGGAAGCGCAGATTAGTCACGGGCAGCCCTATGGATGTGGCGATGACATCGAGCGACGGCAGCTCATGGTCTTCTGTGTCTCGCTCGTCCTCACTCCCCTCCATTGTGAGCATGGTGTCCTTCCTCTCGGGCACCGTAGATAGGGGCGGCAGAGCGGCAAGGGAGCCGCGCATCGGTGTACCGGATGTAGGGGATGGTGCTGTGGGGGAGGTGGTCTCGAACATGGTGTTGATGTTCTCCATGAATCGCGATAGCCTGCGGCTGCGTGCGGTGCTGATGCTGGCGAACGAGGCAACACGGAGACCTGAGCGATGCCGAAGCAAGAAATGGTCATGACTTCTGAGGTGCGTGAGTCAGCTGTCCTCACGCCTGGTAGCGCTGGGAAGGACGGGCGATGCTTGTTCGTCTTCATCAGGTGCTTTTGTCTGGACCTTCTTTTCCCCGGAATGTGCCGTGGGCCGGATGCCCCTGGCCGCCATTTCCTTCTGATACAGAGGAGACGCTAGCTTTCGAGCCTGACAGAAATGAGAGGCAACAGAGACACGCTCATTGACCGTCGTCATGATTTGTGAGTGTAAGTACCTTGTATGCGATTGCCGTGATATCCCAAGAACCGATGCCGCCCCCCTCACAGCCCACAAACACGCGCCACTCCTTGGGCGAAATCTCCAGCACCTCCAAACACTGCACGCCAACCACCGGGTCACCCTTGCGAGCACCGACATGGACGGGGGTGATCGACTCCCGCTGCTTCGGCACTCTTATGGGTATGTCTCCCTCCCACTGGATGCTCGTACGGCTCCTTCGCGACGCACTGCCCGATGCAGGCACATCACCGCCACCCGAATTCCTCTTCGTGTCTGTCTCCGCTGTCGCCACGACGGCCACATGCCCCGCCACACGGGCGCTGACACTCCGTTTATCCTTCTTCTGGGTCCCTTTGACCTCATCCCCATTCCAACCAGGAGGAGCCGACTTTGGAGGGGCCGTCGGCGCACAGACGGCTGGCGGCTCTGGCGGCTCGATCTCTATGGTTGGCGCGAAGGAGATCGACCCGTGTGGCCTGCTCCTCTTGCCGCTAGCCTTGAGTGACGACATGCTGGGACGCGACAGAGGCGTGGGCATCGCCGGTCCGATCGGCGAGGACGCCACGGGTGTCTGAAGGAAGGGACGTGGCCGGGAAGGAGTCCTGCTCGGCGTGAGCATTGATGGTGTCTGTGGCGTCGTCCGTTTGTCAGTGGATGGCGCGAGCGATTTGGGGCTGTCCTCGATGGCCACGTCTATGGCAAAGGGGCGCGCTGGGGGCTCTGGCGGGGCTGTGGATGGGGTGGTGAGGTATGCACAGTGAAAGGTGTCGTATTTGGGGAGAGGCTTGAGGCCGTGGAACGTGAGTTTGGCCTTCTCATCAATGGTCAGAAAGAGGGGGGCGTTGCGCAGGAAGCAGCACGCGACGAGATTCTGAGCAAGCAGTGGAATTTCAGGCTCTGTGCTGTGGGACCTTCCGTATCTACCAACTTACGGCAGGAAGCTCGGGTTCATCTTGTTTCTGTTCGGTAGTAGCCTCGAGCTGTGCGGTGTCTGTCTTGTACCAATGAATGCTCCCTCCTCCGCCAACCACGGCGAGCAGATGATGACTCGCCAGCACATCCACACCCACAACGTCCACCACAGACAGCGTCATGCGACGAAGCGTCTGGACGCGCCGGCCTGCAAAAGACGGGACGCTCCTGTAAGGGAAGATCAACGCAGTTGCCTCCCCTACCGTCAGGAAGCTCCTCGTGTATTTGGAAGCAGCCCTCATTGGCGGAGAAGGAGACAAGGTGCTCGCCTGACCACTGAGGCACAGCAGATGGATGACACAGGTCGCAACCGACTGACAATGACTTGAGGAAGCGTGTCTCCATCATCACCTTGGCCACTGTTATTTCCGACGGGTGTGAGTGGAGCGTCTTGAGTCGATAGCCTGCACAAGGGGTGAATGGACAAGACGGTCGCTTGGCGTCATGGCATTCCTTCACCGGATGAGAGTGAGTGGATTGAGAGGCGGCCTTGCTCATCGCCAATGACACACTTCCTCTCAGTCGGATCCACGCTAAATGCCGTAATGGACGACGGCGTCAGATCTGAAAAGGTAGAAGGAGAGGGTCAAGCACTGTCGACCATGTCTCTCTGGCACTACCCTCAAGCACTCCTTCAATGTTGCCATCCAGGGCACTCCACACCGTCACTGATCTGCCCACGGGCGTCGCGATCTTCGCAGACAGGCCAACACACATGCACACGCACTTATGCTCCGTCGGAAATGTCTCTCTTTCGAGTGTACGTCCCGCGGGTCACCTGTAGCGTTCGTTTGAAGAGTACTGCAGTGAGTGCTGGTTTATCCGCCACCACCTTCGGCTCCGTTGACTCGCGGTGCAGGAAGGCCGTGAAGCGACCGCACACTGCAATGGTGTTCCTTCATCAAAAAACAACGACACACAAGATAATAGACAGGCAGGTCACAGCAATGGCAACGTCTCACCTGCTGACCGCAGTGAGTTCGTGCGCCTTCAGCGGCTCGTCATCGAGTAGCTCGCTGGAAGCCTTGAGTGTCTGCACACATGACATGCGACGCAGGTCCCAAATCTGCACAGACAATTCATAAGAAGAAAGAGACATGTCTGTGGGCATCGTCTGCCTGTCTGATTGGTGACCTTGATGTTGCCGCTGACATCCAGAGACATGGTTTCCCAGCTGTCGGGTATTCGCTGCAGACTCAGTATAGACGACAAATGTCCCGTCAGAGTCGATGTACCGCAACCTGTGGACACACACACACACCCAGAGAATAGCACCACACGTGTGTGTGGTCAGACTGCCGTGGTGGATAGTTAGGACGTACCGCTGGCAGGGTCCCATGTGTGAATGGTATGGTCAAATCCAGCAGACAGCAGCAGCCTCAGCTCAGGATAGAACAGCAGAGACGATATGCCCTTAGTGTGGCCATACAGCCGGTGCTGCTCGCGGCCATGGATTGTGTCCCACAACACTATCTGCCGACACACATGCAATCAGCCTGCATCATGCCTGCTGCGTCGAAGAGAGCGCATTGGATGGATCATTACCGTGCTGTCCATGGACGCAGAGGCGAGCATCTCGAAGGAGGGCATCCAGCAGAGAGCCAACACGGGCTGAGAGTGTCCCTTGTCGATGTCACACGTCAGCTTGAAGCAATCGTTCAGGTCGGTCACGTCACGAATACTGACACACACGAGACATGACGGTGATGAGTGTGTCGCGGCAGAGTCTGTCCGTGTTTTCATTCTTCACCCGTTGGGGTCTGGAAAGCTCCATCCCATGATTCTCCCACTGGTGGAAAAGGGATCGGCGCCGAACAATCGATGATGCTGAAAACAAAGGAGCGGCGTCCGGGCAGGAGGGGAGGGAAATGACAGGACGTCTTCGTTCCTTCTCACTCACCTGTGCGTCATACTGCATGCACGACACAGTCACAGGCTTCATTACCGCCCCACCGCCCCCAGCCAAGGACACGGACGGCATCTTGGCCAGAGTGGGGGGCCGCTTCAGTTGCCGCTCGCCACCATCTTCCTCCCGCGACACGTGCCTGCTGCTGCTGCCCTTCAGCCTCTGAGAATTGTAGCTCGACAGAGACGCGTTGAAGGGCGATGCCGATCCAATGATAATCATCGACGTGGTCGACTGTGATGGCGAAGGAGGCACTTTTGGGGTCCACTTACGGACGAGCGAAGCTGTGTTGTCCCATATGATAATCTGCTTGTCGCAGGCGGAGGTGAGCAGCCACTGGTGAGGCGACGGCATGTACACCGCTGACAGGAGGTCACGGGTGTGACCCTTGAGACACTTCAGCCGCTCGCCTGTCTTCGGATGCAACAGCTGACATAGACAAAACACTGTGACCCATACAGAAACGAATTGTCTCCCTTTTTGCTAACCCTGGCCGTCGGTTCCTCTTCCTCGAACTGCAGTAGTCTGTCCAGCTGAGGAATGTACATGATCTGATGGAAATGAGTGTGCAGCTCCTCAGGCCGATAGTGGTACTGAGCCTTGACGGGCAGCCTCGTAAAGGGCCGGCTCTCCACTCCCGTCATAGTCGCCATGGCATCCTTCTCCTCCCAGCTGATGCCACCCGCGCCCTCTTTCGCCAGCCCTTCGGCCGGCAGACTCGGGCCACTGCCCTTCTGGTCTGCCTTGGGCACATCCAGGTGCAGGGTGGACGCTGTCTGCAGTGACTTTTGCAAGTGCTGTTTGCGGAGCAGGTCGGAGATGCATATGAAGTGCTGGGTGAGGTGGCTCCAGGTGATTTCGCCTCTGCTCTCCACATCGAGGTCGTCGAACATCACAGCTGGCACACAGACAGGGAGACATGGAGAGGGGGTGGAGGGCAGGTGAGCGAAGCGGTGTCCTCTTTGCGGACCTGCGGCGTACCATCGGAGGTGTTCTCGCTCCTCTTCGTCCAGATCGGCACACACACGACTCTTGGGTGGCGCCATGTACGGCTACAAGAGAGAAAGAAAACCAGCCGGCCCGGAGATTCACATCCACTGCCTTCAAGCATGCGCACCCACCATGACGATGTCGATGAACGAGGCCATATCCACCTGGTCAAAGTGCTCCAGGAACTGACGCTGCAGCTTGCTCAAATACCGACCAGACAGCACCTGCAACAAGCAAGACACACACAGCCGTTTCCGCATTGTTACTCACTCACTGCATGATCTGATCACCTGCAGGAACTCCCACTGCGTCATGCGCACTCGCCGACGAAACCGTGCATACTTGTTCGGCTGTTTGTTGCACAGCCTCTTGAGGTAGGTGCGCACGCGTAGGCGGAGCCTCAGCTTGAGAGTCATGAGCTGAAGCTCATTCAGATGGGGCGCTGGCGGCATTGCTCCTCGCTGGGCAGTCGGCGGCGCGGTTCTAGAGGGCAACACCAGGTTGCGGGGCTCCACTTCAGCCTCTCCTTGTAGCAATGTCTTCCACATGATTGAGCCTTCAGCTTAAAGCGGACCCCGGATTCTGGCACTGCAAACTTCGATTCGTAGTGCCGTTCTATGCGCGTTCCTCTGCCGCTTTCAACTTGAAGTTGCTGCTCTTCTTGAAAAGACGCCCCCAGGCCCCCACAAAAAGCTCGCGAATGTGATGCCGTTCCCCTTGATAAGACCGCATGAATGATGTGTCGGCCTGAGGTACAACCTTGGCTATAGCCTATTTGGTTTCTCAACACATTCCCTTGAAAAGATCCGGGAAGGATGGAAAGCGCCAAAGCTGCTGTTCGTCATGCGTATCTGAGAATGGCGCCGGTGGATCAGGTGCTGCAGATGTGCAGGGGGATCTCTTTTGCTGACGATTGTGAGGTACGCGTCAATTGGCCATCGGGCGCCCCGCATCCCTTGGGCATCCCTTGCTTGCCATGCAGATCCAGGACTGGTTCTGTTCTGAGGTCGTCAATGGCGCTATTGCTACCAGGCGTCCGCCGTCCGTCGCATACACAAGCCGTCTGATGAAGCTGTTAGTGCAAGACATCGAGCTGCAGCAAAGAGAGCCGTCCGATGCTCTTCTGGAGACCACCTGCACACGCATGGAGCAGTACAGCGCCGCCTCCAAAGAGAAGCCGCCGTGCTTCGTGACCTACATACTGCCTGAGGGGGAGCCGGTGTCTTGCCGCATCTACCAGGAGAAGAATGAAGTCGGCCTTCGGCTGTGGGAGGCGGCATTCTACCTTGCCGAGTATTTCTGGACGTTTGCTGACCTGCTGGATGGCAGGCGGTGTGTGGAGCTTGGCAGTGGCGTGGGGCTGGCGGCCATTATGATATTGAGGAAATGTCGACTGGGGACGTTCGTGTTGACCGACTATCTGCCATCCATTCTAGCCAACCTGCGCTTCAACTTGGAGGTACCCTCGGCATCGTCCGCCACTCCACAAGTGACAGCTTCCGTTGACTAAGTGTGTGCATGCAATGCAGGAGAATGGCATTGCCTTGTCCGGTAGTGCTTCAGAGGAGCCAGCGAGTGTGTCGGTGGAGCTGCTCGACCTCGAGAAGAACCCTGGTGTGAAGTTGGGAGAGCTGCTTGCACGGGGCATCGATACTGTCGTTGCGTCAGACGTCCTCTATGACCCAGGTACGCGTGTCACAACCAAAGACGGCCACGCACTCCATGTACACATGCGTCTGTCTGTCTGTCAATTTCAGATTTAGTCAAAGGTGTAGTTCACGCCCTTTCCGTCTTGCTGCCCCCGCCCAAGGCCACCGCCTCGCATGTCCCCGTGGCATACATTGCAGCCACGCGGCGCAACGACCAGACGATGGACATCTTTAGGTCTCTGTGTGCCGACGCTGGCCTGACGGTGGAGGTGGACAAGAGGGAGGTCCGGCATCTGTTTGAGTATGACAGGCGGACAGTTGAGATGTTGAGGATAACATGCTGTGTCGGGATGGGGGCGGGGGAGACGGGTTGTGTGGATGAGAGAAGCCACGCCGTGTGCGTGGGGTGATTTGTGGCAAGATGCAGACAGGCTTGTGTTCGGTGTTTGTGGATAATCACCTTTCACAATTGAGTATCTCCCTCGGTCATCTTCACACACACACACAGACAGCACAGCACATGTATTGATTGACTCACCGCGCCGCCATGACGCGTCAGGGCACACACCGTCCCGTCTACCTATAGAGGAAAAATACGCTGTGAGGCCGGCCTCCTCTAGTAGTGTACACACGCGCGCACAGAGCTAGCCTGGCCAGCCAGCCAGCCAGCCGTGAACATCAATCAAATCATCCAAGTCCATCACTCCTCCCCCGTCACATACACAGATATACTCTTCTGCCTCATTGTCGCTACCCAGAAGGCCTGCAGGGGTCGCAACAGGCACATCCATAGTAAACCAGGCGCACAGCCACCTGAGGTCCAACTCGAGACACGACTGGCTTTCGCTGAAAAGTTCTTACCACATCCTTCTCATAATAAGCGGCCTCGTTGACGAAGAGGGCATAGAGGTCGTTGCGTGTGTCGGCCGTCATCATGCCGGCGTCATCGGGGTCTGTTGGCGGCATGCTGCTGGGCTCGGCCGCTTCCTTCTCGCCTGGTGATGGCTTGATGCTCTCATCCTGACCGGTCGCCTGGATGTCCCCTGCAGGCCAGGCAGCACACACAGACAACAGATATGTAGACCGGGGAGGGGAGGGGCGTGGTACATGTGGTCGTGTTGGTGTCCTGTTGTGTTCCGCCCTCCCTCACCGATATGGAAGTGTCTTGTGGTGTCGTCGAACATCTCGAAGGCATTCATGCCGTTCTTGAGGGCACAGAAGTCCTTCTCGTCAAGGTCGGGATGAATGGCGCCACGAATCTCCCCTGCACACAGCGAAAAGAAAGAGACAGCATAAAAGAATGAACCCATCGGTCATGGTGTGCCGGCTGAATGCAGTGGTGCCCACCGAGTGAGTCTCGTGGGAATGGAACGGTGCCGATCCTCTCATAGACCTCGAGTGTGCAGCTCTGCTGCCGCGCCCTCTTGAGGGCCTCCTTCTCGCTCAGCAAATTGTTGCGGCTGGCCCACCCCCCACAGACAGACAGGCGAACACACACGCACATTGGTGTGCGTGTCTGTCCGCCCTGTCTGTCCGCCCTGTCGGCACTTACAGTTCGATGTAGTCGAGTGCATGCAGCAGGAGCCTCTTGGTGTCGAGCAGCAGATCTGCCTTCAGCGTGCCGTGAGGTACCGGACCAACCTCCACTGTCATACCTGCATACACGCATGCATATTTTGATGCATGACATCGACATTACACAGACATCTTTCCTGTGTGTGTGTAGGTGTGTTGGGCGGACCTGATCTCGCGACCGTGGGCAGGAAGCATGGCTCTTCGTCCTTGGGCCACGTGACGGTCTTGATGGTCGGCTCCAGCAGCGACATGGCAGCAGCTACCTGTAGCCACACACACTCAGGACGTCTCGACGCTGTACATACATTTGGGCTGACTTGCTGACATGCGCACCTCGAAGGCGAATGCGTCTCCGGGAGCGAATATGAGTGTGGTGTGCATGTTGGCGGTCGTGTTGTGGAGGTCGAGAACGAAGTCCATCCTAGGCGTGGGGGACGCCTTTGGCCCCAGCTCCTTGTCGAGCTGCCTGGCCCTCCGCAACTCGTAGGTGATATCGTCATCATCTTCGGCGCTGCCGCCCCCCTCCTCATCGGCATCCACCGACACCGTCAAGTTGTCCAGTGTGAACACACGGTTGATGTCCTGACCAACACGCATGCAATGCAGGTGTGTGTGATGTGTGAGGCAGTGAACCAGTCCATGCAGTGCACCCCCCCTCCGCCCTGGGGAACTGTCTGTCCGTGTACCTTTTACCTGGTCGATGTATCGTCTGCATGCCGCAATGGCCTCCTTGTTGACGAGCACCGGATGCACATCGAACGACTTTCGAAAGAGCTTCCCCCTTGACCTCTGGAAGTACTCGGTGAGGTGCACGCCATTCAGCTCGTTGCCATGCGTCCCTCCGCATATGGCCACATTCTGAGATCAACACACACCACAGAGCTCAGCATTGGGCAAATGGTGCGTTCTTCCCACGCCACTACCTGACCTTGACGATGTCCTTGTCCCCGATGTGGCGCTTCGAGAGAAAGGCGAGCCTCTCCTCCTGAGACAAGCTGCTCGGGTTGCTCATCGCAATAGATCTCGGACAAAATGCGTCAGTAATGGATCAGATGGACGTGTAGGCGTGACCCTGACGGACTCCTTCTTCCCCGTCCTCTGAGCTAAGCTCGCAGTCGAGGAGGGGGAAGGGGAAAGGGGGGAAAGGAGAGAGAAGTCTTCTCATTATGTCGACTGTAGCTCCAGAGCGCCACAAGCTAGATCCACCCCCTCTCGATGAATTGGCAAACGCGCTAAGTGACGGTTTGGCGCGGTTCTTTGCGGATGTGCTTGTGGAGGTCGTGGACTGCCCAGGTGACGACAGACAATTCCACGCGCACACACTGCAGTGCGCCCTGTAGCCTGCAATCGTGGCTGGGAAATCTTGTTGTTTGCAGATCTGACAGCCGCGCCCTTTGGGTGTGCCTTTTCTGCCCTCGGGGGCGACCCATGCATCATCGGTGAGGCATCTCAGCAAGCGCACAAACGCTCTGGACCCATGAATGAGTGCATTCAGATGTCGGCGGGGTGGACAATCTGTTCCCGTGTGCGCGGAGGGGCAAGTACTTCGATCTCTCAGCTATCGAGCAGCAGATAGGCGCGGGCCGGTCGTGCTTCATCGGCGCTGGTGCGGGCCCCTTCCAGGAGGTCCAGCACAACTGCGAGTGGATATGCAACGTCAGACTGCCTGAGGCCAATGAGTCGAGGTGCGCCGTCATGGAGGGGACGGACAAGGGGAGCGGCTACACCATTGAGAGGCCAAAGACCACCTGCTTTGGCATACTCGGCAACCTATACGCTTGCAAAGGTGAGCAGAGGGCAGACGCGAAGCCGTGTGTGATGCATATGCATGTGTGTGTGTGGATGTGACTGCATCCGTGTCGTGTGGGTGTGCAGGTGAGCCGTGCAAAGTGCTGCACATCAAGGCCGGTCGGCGGACGGGCAAGGATCCCTCTGGCAAGGACCTCCCCCAGTGCCTCGCATCCATCCTGGCGTCCTCTTTCCCCTCCCGGCCGGTCTCTCTGGGTGGTGTCATGGCCATGCACGCTGGCAAGGCGCGGCTGCACATCATGTCTGACTTCACCGACGACCCCATCCGCAGCAATGATGCGATTGAAAACTGGCTCAACTACTTTGAGGTGCCTGCCCCCATGACCTTCATGTTTGTGTCGACCTCCATCGACCCTGGGATGGACCTCAGGTCGGTCGGTCGGTCACTCAGTGGGTGGGAGAGAGGCCCCCAGCATGAGAGTGGATGCGTGTTGTGTGTTGTTTGTTGCAGGACTGTTCACACTCACGGGTGGCATGAGGGCAAGTATGGGGGCCACTATCACAACGACACCACACCAGATGAGGTCAGGGGGTGGGTGGGCAGGGATGCCATGCCATGCCGGCCTGCATGCCGGCATCGTGGGCTTACAGGGATGTGTGTGTGTGTGCCTGCGCGTCTGCAGGTGAGCTACGAGGTGTATGTGAATGTGGCCGAGTGCATCTACCGCATCGATAGGGTCAGTGAGGGGGCAATGGGGAGAATAGACAGACAGCTGGACGAGACCGCGGACACCTCCCTCTCTCTCTCTCTCTCTCTGTGGGTGTCTGTCTGTCTGTCTGTGTGTAGGTCTCTCAAACGCCTGACTTCAACCGCCCATGTTGATGCTGTCTGCCCTAAGCGATGCTGCTTTGTCTGTGTCTTAGTTGCGTTTTCGTCTGTGCATCCATCCCGTGTGTGGACGCTAATGATGGGTGCCATGTGGAGACGACTCAGGGATGAGTGTGGAGGCTTGAGCATTCACCTACACCACACGTGGTTGCGCCCCACTCAGACTCACGCTTCATCACGGCTGAAGAGCCGAGACACTCGCCGGTGACCGGCCCGACAGACAGACAGGCAGACAGACAGAGAGACAGACAGGCAGACGACTGTATCTCATTCACAATGAATTCGTTGAGTTGATGCACAGATGCACCCAGACACAGTCAGACACACACACACACACACACACACACATCCACACAGCAGGCACGGTGTGTTCCTGCCTCACACACGGCTCGAAAGTCTACATAAAGGGCCATGTGATGCGAGGGCGAGGCGAGGCAGTATTGGCAAGTGGGTGCTAGTTGTCGGCGTCATCGTTGGCGAATTCCAGTCTCTTGCCGTCGGCCCACTCGCCCTTCCTTGATACACCTGATTGATTGATGCGATCGGTGGATGCGTCAGTGTCAGTCAACGCATTCATTCGTACGGCAGGCGAGACAGACACACTCAGATGAGTGAGATGCGGGAGGGAAGGTGCGTCCGTCCAAACGTTTTTATTTACCTTTAGCGTTGGTGTATGTGCCTTTGCCATGCTGCTTGCCGTCCTTCCACTCGCCCTGAAACACCAGCCAGCCAGCGCCAGCCACATGCCTACAGTCTGACTGTCTCCTTTGAGTGAGTCCCCTGTCTGCCTGACCTGGTAGCAGCGTCCGTCAGCCCACGAGAACTTGCCGAATCCGTGTTTCTTGTCTTCGTGGTACTGACCCTCGTACGACCGGCCGTCGGGCCAATGCATCAACCCCCTGCCGTGCATGTGGTTCCGAGCCCACTGCACACACACGACAGACAAGAAAACCAAACCGTGTGGTCGGCTGGGCTGTCTGGTCTGGATGTGTGTGGGTAGCTTAGCTTAGCTTGGCTTACCTGTCCCTCGTAGCACCGTCCGTCGGCCCATTTGTAGGTGCCTTGTCCGTGGATGTCGTTGTCCATGAAGTGGCCCTCGTAGGTGGAGCCCTCCGCCCATGTGAACACCCCCTCGCCGTGCTTTTTGCTGCCCCTGCAGTGCACTCATTGAATGCAGTGCACAGTGAGTGAGCCAAGCCAAACCGTGTGTATGTGGATGTGTATATGTGTGTGTGTGTGTCTCTCCTGTCCATGTATGACTACTTGTAGTATCCCTTGAATGTCGATCCGTCGGCCCATTTCTCGATGCCATAGCCTTCCTGCATGTCCTCTACCCAGTCTCCCTCGTAGCTGCATCCCACCCACACAGGAAGGCACCAGGCACACAACATGTCGAGACACTCACGTTCTTTCTTCTCTCTCTTGCATCAATTGCCTGTCTCTCTCGTTGGTTGCACGTTTGTCTTGCTTACCTGGATCCGTCAGCATGTGTGAATGTGCCCTTGCCGTGTGCCCGGTCGTCCTTCCACGCGCCCTCGTAAATGTCGCCGTTGTTGTGAGTGAACTTACCCTGGCCCTGCAGTATACCAGAGACAAGCACGGGACTCAGTGAGTGAGTGAGTGAGTCGTCTCTCCATTTGTTAACAGATCATTGACAATCTCACTCACATTGGCCCGATTGTTTCTGAATTCTCCCTCGTATTTGCCTCCGTCGGGTCTCTCGAGGACGCCGTAGCCGTCACGCACATCACCAAGCCACTCGCCCTCGTACTTGACGCCCCCTGATTGCAATGCACCAGTACGTCAGCACTCTCCCGGCCCGCCTGCTGCATGTCCTGGTACATGTGATTGATGTCCATCCACTGACTGACCTTCGAGGACGACGAGTGGTCGTTTATCCCTGGCGTGCGGGTATGGTTCGCCTTTGAGTGTGGAGGCGGGCTGGGTCTCGTTAGGATGTGGCGCCTCCTTCTCGGTGAAGAGCTCGATCTTCTGCTCGTGGGACGTGTCGGGCTGGAAACACGCACACTGACCCATGATTGACGCCACGCCAAACAGGCTGTTTTTTTCGAGACTGCGAGATAAGACTGGGGGCCTGCGTGGGGGCCGTTCTCGGCAAACCCGACAGTTGTTTGAGGCAATGCCTTCCTCCCGCAAGGCCCTCATCGTCGGCGTGTAAGATGCACCACACAATGTCATTCATTACGCAGCCAACTCCAAACTGATGGCCAGCGTGGGGTGTGTACGTGTGGTTCAGGACGTACCAGGATGTGCCAAGCCCTGAAGTGCCGTATGTCTGACATGAGCAAAGCTCGGTCGCCCACATCTGCAGTGACACATCAGTGTTTCCCTTTCATGCAGACGGTGCTGGGGCACTGCCCGTGACGCCCAGCTCTACAGTGCTCTCTTGCAGAAGCACTACAGCTTCGACAGCAGGGACATCCGGCTGCTCGTCGACACACATGAGACGAGATACCTGGACTGCCGGCCGACCAAAGCCAGGGTGCTCGACGGGATGTGCTGGCTGGTCGACGGCGCACAGACCGGCGACACCCTCGTCTTCGCATTCAGCGGCCATGGCACCCACATTCAGGTTGAGGATGGAGGCAAGATGGAGGACCACAGTCAGTATGAGTGTCTGGTTGTCGAGGACGATGTTCTGCTGCTCTCGGAGATGTACACAAGCCAACAACACACACCACACACAACACCATACAGGCATCAGACACGTGTGTTCTGGCGTTCTCATATTCTCCGTCATCAGATGGGCCGCCACCCACCAGCTGCCCCCTGGCTGCATGATGACCTGCTTCATGGACACCGCACACGCACTGCGGACCCTCGACGTGCTCGGGACGTGCTCACACGCCCGCCACATCCCCAGGGGAATGCCGCCTCAGGCCGAGGGCTTGAGGCACTTGGCGGCGAGGCAGTGGCCGGCCTGGTTCGCCCCCCACTTGTACCCCGCCAAAGCCTTGGGGCTGTTCCCTGATGGAGTCAATGGGTTTGTCTTCGCTGCATGTGCGCCGCGACAGACCGCACAAGAAGTGCATTCGTACGGGGACGGCGATGGCCATCCACAGGTAAGGAAGTAGGCGATGGATGGCAGAGACACACACGTACGTGTCTTGATGGCTGCGATGATTGCTTGTCTGTCTGTCTGTCGGTGTAGGGTGCACTGACACTTGCCGTCGCTACTGTGTTGGATCATCTGTGTGGGCGGCCGGTGTGTATTGGCGACGTGTTCCGGGAAGTGGAGGCCGTCTTTCGTTGCTACTATCAGCAGAATGTCCTGCACTGCCCGCAGACACCTTTGCTAGCCCACAGCAGAACCTCACTACCATCAGAGTGCTCATTCATTCTCCCTACCACTGGTATGTATGCGCTCATGTCTCAGACACAGACGTGTCAGACTGTCTGACAGGTCTGTGTCTCACTGTCTTTGCTTCTTCTGTTGCAGCTTACGGCCCCGACGGCCATACCAAGTTCCAGCCCCTCCCTCCCCTCTGCCTCACACCACACGTCATGCGGTCACGCCTCCCAGCCATGACCATGGCACCGCCAAGCCAACAGCACCCGCCCCCGCCTCCCCCTCTGCTGGACATGCACCCACCACCCACACGGATGCCCCCGTCATCGCTCTCGAGCTACGTGCCGCCGTCCAAGAGGCCGCGTGCACCGCCGCTCTCTCCCTCGTGTTGTGGGTGCCGCAGGAAGCCCTCTGTGCCGAGGCTGGAACTGACAGCGGCCAAGCTGGAGAGGGAGATGACAATGCTGCAGAAGGAGATAACCGACCTAGAGATGAAACTCACGGCCAAGACCAAGGCGTTCGAGCACAAGGTCATGTCTCTGCAGACAGTGAGACGCTCCCAGTCGGTCCCGGTGCTGCCCATGACCACCAGGAGCTTCCGCCCACCACCACAGCAGCAGCAGGAGAGAGGGGCCATACATCCGCTCCCACATCACCCACACCTAAATGCGGAGAGGGAACAGCCCGCACTGTTGGTGGGTCATCGGATGCGCCAACTGGATTCTTTCCCCGACCATCTGCCGAGGGCCACGCTCGAGACGGGAGCCATATGGGTGACATGTGTTGACGGGTCACGTGTGTTGATTCACCCGCCAGTGCCCACCATCTTCCCACACACAGCACAGGGAGGGGAGGGGGATCTGGTGGCCTGAGTGAGGGAGGAGGGTGGAGTGGGCAGTTGAAGGTGGTAGGACTGACATGTGATCTGTGGCCTGCCTGGCTCTAGGTATAGGGACAATATATCGGACTCTGTGCACTGACTGACGCATTGGATTGAGCGATAAGAGATTACTCGACAAGCCGTTTAGTCTACACACACCATGACGTACGTGGTCTGGCCGTCACCCATCCATCCACGTACACTCGTCCGTCCCAGGCCCCAACACATCCACCCCGCCTGTATATCACAGCAGCTCATCTTCGTCACTGTTATCGTCACCATTGCCCGACAGCGACCCCACAGCAGCCCCATTAGCAAGGTCGTTGAACCTGCGAACCACATTGTCGTTCTCACGGCTCCGCGGGCACACAAACTTGTCGTTGGGGCCCTCGACGTAGGTGTCGCAGTCGTCGGTGGCGTCATTGTTTGTGGTCCATATGCGGATGTGCTTCTCAATGCCTGCTGATGCAATGGTTGGGGGGCTGAGGGAGAGGGGGTAGGGGGGCGCGCAGGTCACGCAGTTGACAATGCCCTTGTGACCTGACAGCGCGCCGATCGACCATAACACCCCTGACAAGACAAATAAATGGACACAGTGACACAGATGACTGACTGTGGTGTTTGTGGCTGCCTGGGTGCGATTGCCATACTTGTCTCTCGGTCATCCTTGTGCTGCTTCAGGATCTGTCGCGTGTTGTCTGGTAGCCGCCACATGTGTATGTTGCAGTCGTCGGACCCCAAAACCACATGCCTGTTGTCGCTCAGAAAAGATCCGTACTTCTGGGTCACATCGTTCGAGTAGCTCCTCGACCGCAGCTCAAACACGGGATACACAAGGCGATCGCTCGTGAGGGGATACACCAACGCATACCGATGACGCCTGCAGGCGAAAACAGAAGGGAAGGAAGGAATGCACTCTCGAGGAGCGAGGGGGATATGCTGTGCTGTTTGTGTCACCCACCTGATGACGAGGACCATCGTCGCGTCAAAGCTGACCGCCAGCCGGTCCGCTAACATCAGATACCTCTCACGACCTCCATCACCAGGAACAGCAGCCGCACCTGATGGCGGCTCATCCCCTCCTCTCCCCCTCCCCCGCCCCCTGTGCCACTCCCTCTGTCGTCTGGCTATCGGCTCCTCGATGCGTGACAGATCCACGCTATCATGTGACTCCTCCCCATGACAGGCCTCCTCAAGGGGGGCCGACTGTGTGTGCGTCGGGGCTGGGGCTGCGGTTGGCTCCTCGCTGGAATGCGCATCTCCCGGATCTGGAACGGTGAACGTCGGCAGGGAAGACAGAAAATCCTCTCCAGGTTCGTCGCCATCGTCATCGGAGCCGCACAGCTCTTCAGGGTCCTCAGAGAAGGCCGGTCTCTCGTCGCTTTCAGCCTCCTGCCTGTGCTTGGACGCCTTCCGCCCCCGCACCATGAGTATCTCCATCTGTCTCCTGCCATCGTCGTGTCCTCTTCGCCGCTTTGTTTCCCTCTCGTCGCTGCTGTCCGGTGATGGCGGGGGACGGGGCGGGGAAGGGTGGAGAATGGGTGCAACGAGGAGGTCAGTTGGGGTCGCCTGGCTGCCCTCTGGGGCATAACGCCTCACATCCATGAATCGGCACAAGGGCTCCTGACCCTCTGTGCGATAGTCCTGAATGGCCGTATTCCTCTCGCTGGTGAAGAGGAAGAGATAGCGCTCTGTCGGATGGGCGCAGCAGCCCAGCACAGATGAAGTCTCCCGCAGCACCAGCCGATGACGTACACCACCGTGACCGCCAGGATACCCGCCCGCAGAGCTCCCAGGCACTCTGAATGAATGCGTCAACATAGACAGACCACAATCGAGAGAGAGCATCCATCCGCATTCCTGCTGGCATGTGTGGGCCCTGTGTGCGCACCTGAAGTCTACGAGCCGGATGGGCCCTCTCGAGAAGCTGGCCAGCGCCAGATTCGGCGAGGGCGGGTCTACCCAGCTCACTTGGAAGATGGCGCCATTGTCCTCATACGGATCTGACCAAGACCACCCCGTTGCAATTGTGCATGGGGGGGAGGGGAGGGGAGGTCAGGTCATTTCTTACCCCAGGCGTATGACAGGCGGTCCCGCGGGTTTTCAATAGCGATACGAGTGATCTGGCCGTCGTTGCCACCAGACAACAGGTGGCTTCGCGAAGCTGACGGGACGGACACAGACAGGCAGGCAAGGAACACACACACTGATCACTCTGACGGCGGCCTCGTGTCGGTGCTCAGGTACCATTGAATACGACTGAGAAGATGTTGCTCTCATGGACGTCCTCGAACTCCGCTATCGGCAACCGCTTCCGGCGCCCGACTGCAGCCACCAACACACAAGCAACACGCAGCCTCTCAACTCTGCAGTCGTGACGAGATGAGTGCAATCATTGCTCTTCTGACCTTTCCACAGCAGCACGCGGCAGTCGTCGCTTCCGCTGGCCAACAGCTCGCCGTCTGGCGAAAAGCTGATCGCGTTGACGCATCCATAGTGGCCCCGCAGTCGGTATGAGCCAGATGCGGGGAAGCCGCGACTCCGAATGCGATGCTCGCAGAACTTGACAATGAGATTGGTTCTTTCGCTAGGAGAAGCGCGACGAAGGTCCAGCACACTCATCAGCTCTTCTTCCACTTTCCTCCCACTCGTACTCTCCAATTGACTCTCCTTGCGAGCTTAGCCGAACGAAACGATCAGCAAAACCGCACAGATCTGAGTGATGCCTCTGTACCAGCACGTTGCTGAGCGAGGCCCGCCACCCGTGACAGAAGAGCAGCGGAGCCATGGCGCTCCGGAGCCCTACCATCTGATGGGCAAAGGAGCGGTCCCGGATCCCGACAACCCGACAGTACGCGGTGTCAAAGGCCACACACAGCCTACGACCATCCATCTGATTTGTTGTTTGTTCATTCATTCCTTTGCTCATTCATCGGATGCACAGGTCCTGGTCATCGTCACAGGGGGTACGCTGTGCATGGATGTTCGGGCCGATGCAGAGGGCGGCAGTCTGCGGCCCATGGAGGGCGGCCTGAGGGCTTCCCTCATGCAGATGGACGAGTTGGATGACAAGCGTGGCAAACGTCAGCAGCTGCCGCATTTCGAGGTGCTTGAGTGGCCGCACCTTATTGACTCGAGTGACGTTGGGCCAGAGGAGTGGAGGGGGTTGGCACGGGACATCGAACGGCACTATACCGACTACGATGGGTAGGTAGGTAAGTCATCCATCGGTGGACAGCTGGCTGGATGCATGTCATGGATGGGGTGCGATTTGCGTGTGTGTGTGCTGCTTGTCCTCGGCTTGCAGGTTTGTTGTGATTCATGGCACCGACACCATGGCGTACACGGCTTCCGCCCTTTCCTTCATGCTGGAGAATCTTGGTAAGCCAGTCATCCTCACGGGAGCCATGCTCCCGCTGGCCAAGGTGCAGACGGATGGGAAGAGGAATCTGTTGGTGGCGCTGTTCATCGCGGCCGTAATCTACACAAGGCAGTTGACAAATACACACACACACTCACACATACAGTCCTTCGGCTCGGTTGTATTGTAATGTTCAGTACTCCCAGCTGACAGAGGTGTGCATCCTGTTTGCCAGTGTGCTGATGAGGGGCAACAGAGCCACCAAGAGCGACTGCTGGGGTGCGGAACAGGGCGGCGAGGGATGGGATGGGGCGGTGATTGATTGATGAGACGAGTGGATCTTTTTGTGTCCATTTGTGTGTGTGGCTTTGTGCTGTGCAGCCTTCAAGGCGTTTGAGAGTCCCAATTATCCGCCTCTGGGACGGTAAGGGATGCATGACGTGCGAAAGGACCGACTGATCTGATTGTGTCCGCCGGGTACGTCACGGTCAGCGTTGGGGTAGAGATCCGCATTGACGAGAGCCTCCTGCTGGCGCCGTCCAAGCGTGCATTCAGGGTGAGGCATATATGCATCTCGCCACCAGGCACATGGGACTTGGTTGCGTTAGGTGTTTACGGGTCTGTGCACCAATGTCATCTGCTTTCGCTTGACCCCGGGTTTTGATGACGCAGCGCTGGTGCGGCTGTTCGAGACCGACATGCATCCATTCGGCGTCGTGTTACAGCTATACGGTAGGTAGGGCACGGTAGGTATGTTCCCCTCGCCCACCGTCGTACCCATCGATGATTGATGCAGTGTGTATTGTATGCTCTTTGCTGCTCATGTATCTATCAGGCACCGGCAATGCGCCTGTTCGTGGCGGCAAGTTCCTGAGTGTGCTGCAGCAGGGCATCGACAGAGGGTGTGCTGTGGTGGCCGTCAGCCAGTGCTACAAGGGCGCACTCAACCTCCAGGCATACGCCAACGGAGCCAAGCTGCTGCAAGCCGGGGTAGGCAACACACACCCAACGTTGGGTGCCTTCCTCCGGTCGGCGAGCACTCGTCTCGTTGTTTTTGTTGCTCTCTCTGTGCAGGTGATAAATGGCGGTGACATGACGCCTGAAGCAGCTGCCACCAAGTAATCACACATATCGTCATCACGGCATCCGACGATGTCACTCTGCACTGACTGCAGACTGGCGTACTTGCTCGGCAAAGGATACCGCGGCCCGAGGCTCCGCAGACTCATGGAGACCGACCTGAGAGGGGAGGTGACGGACAACCCCGATTACTTGCCCATCCCGGCAGACCGCATGCCTCCCACCCTGCACGTGGTGCACACCGCCCCCACCCCCGCCACACACCCGCCGGCAGTGGACAGAGATAGTGAGGGCAACGGGGACACCAGTGGCGACGGGGGCGTCAAGGCCAAAGGAGAGGCCGGCAGAGGGGGTCAAGAGGGATGGTCGTTGGAGCACACAAGGGGGGATGGGCTGAGGTGTCGGTTGTGAGTGACCATTAATTAGTGTGTGTTACATGTAGTTAGAGGAGGGAGCTTGTCGGGTATGACTGACTACATCGGTTCATCAGTGATTGTGACTCGACAGAATGGAACAATTATTGGACAAATACACACGCATGTCCGCTGGTCTGTTCCAGTCCATTGCATCAACCTGCCGCGCAAGAGCGACATCCATCCATCACAAGAACGATGTCTGCACATTGCTGCGGGAGAACTTGCTCTTGAGTTCCTGAGACTTTTCAACCTGAACACACACACATACCGACGGGCACCAGAGACTTGAGCTGATGCGACGGCGCCGCCTTTTCTCGGTTACCAGTTTCATGAAGTCGGTATTGTTGACTTGCCGCTTGACCTCCAGATCCTGGTCACGGTCAAAACGCTTCCACGGCTGACCGCCTCCACCACCCTACACACACATACACCCATGTACCAGACAGACATTCAGTGCATGTGCCCCGGCCCCATCCGTGTGTGGTGTGCCCACCTCCGCCTGCTGGCCCTTTGTCTTGCCCCATGGGTCATCCGCCTTGCGCTTCATGGCCTTGTGCTGCTCGTCCCGGTACTGGCTGAAGGCGCCCTCCTGCTGCAGCTCCAACAGGCTCTTGCCCCGGTGCTGCTTGTTGTACTCCTCCAAGTACTTCTCCATCGCCTGACGCTCCTCCTCGGTGCGCTTCGCCTCAAACGGGTCAACTGACACACGCACACACACGCACACACACACACACACACACAGAGTGGCACATCCATGCAGGAATGACATGGCTGTTGCTTTGGGGGGGGGGACCTTTCGGCCTTTTCGGCGCCTGTCCGAATGCGGCAGCCAGTGAGTCGGGGGCGTCGGTCATCCAGCTCTCACGCTGCGGACGTCCCCCACCCTCTTCTCCCTCTTCATCCACAGTCGGCATCGGCCCGAACTGTGCCTCGTCAGCCTCCCCGCCCCCTTGAAAGCCCTCCTGCAGACGAGCCAGGTCGTCGCGCGAAGGGAAGGCGACGCCCACACGGCGCTTTCCAGGGGGTGGGGGAGGGGGAGGGGGGCCAGCCATGGCACCTGCCGCCGATGAGGGATTCTCCACTGGGCCAGTAGGGGCGGCTGGCATGCTCTCCCACGACAGAAAAGATGGCTCAGGAGGGGCCGCCGGTCCCTCCTCCTTCGCAGGGACGGTGGGAGGAGGTTCTGCGTCCTTCTGCTTGTCAGCAGCCCTCTTTGCCTCCTCATTCTCCGCCTCCCTGGTGTCCTTCTCTGCCTTCTTGACCAGCCTCTTGATCTCCCTCCGGAAGGAAAAGTCGCGCGCCTTGGGTGGCTTGCGGAACCCCGACTGCTTGGCGGCTGGCTCGTCGAGGTAGAATGCCTTGAACAGGTGCCGCACTTTGCGGCGGATGGTCTTGTCGGCGATGCCGTCGAGGATGACCATCTCGCCGTCGTCGATAGAGCGAAGCAGACCTACCAACTGCATCCACTCACATCGGGAGAAGTAGTGGAATGCAGGCAAGGGATTCAGCCTCGTGTGTGTGTCACCTCTTTGCCCGCCGAGCCGTTGATCTCGAGCAGGTCTCTGACGAGTCGTTCGACCTCTCCACGCTCGTAGAACCACTGACGCACAGACAAGCAAGGCATGTCAACAAACAAACAATGCATGTTTCTCCGCTGTTTTGTGGACTGCCATGCTTACGTCATCGTCGCTTCCGTCCTTGTCCTTGGATTTCTTCTTGCGTTTCTTCTTGTCCTTCCGTCGCCTGCGAGATCCCTCATCAGATGAAGACTCCGAAGCGCTTGACATTGCCAAGGCGATGACGACGGCAAGCTGTGCAGAGGAGGCCGAGCCGAGAAGGCTTTTACGAGTACCCTGCACCCGAATCCAACCCCGACTCGCGGCCTGATCATGACGCTGCTTGTGGTGATCTGCATCTGCCTACTCTTCCTGTCCCTCATCGACTCCCGTCCTCCCACTCCCCGCCGCATTCAGCCGCTGGACTGCCTCAACGTGTATGGCCGCCTCGCCGAACTGCGGCAAGACCCGCTGTTCGACGTGCCACCCTCGGGCACTGCGCCGCAATGGTCAGGCCTGTGCTATTCAACAGTCGTGAGGCTGCACCGAGGCCCCTTGAGGCGGCCGCGATGGTGCAGACTCTTTGAAGAGAAAGAGATGCTCACCAAGGATGAAGTACGCACACACACGGGGACGCGCATACACCATGATTAATGGGTTGAGCGCACTGAATGTGCCTCTCCGTGTGTGTGTGTGTGTGTGTGTGTGTGCAGTTCCGGGAGGCCCTGAACAAGCTCGGTGAGCAGACACACACACAATGAATGGACGACTCAGCGAGAGTATCCACGTGCTTCGTCTGGCCGTGTGTGCGCCCCAGAGTTCTTTTGGCCGCGATGCGAGAAGCGCCGGACCTTTTATTGCTTCCGTCAGCTCTCGAAAGAGATGGATCGGAAGAAAGGCAGCCTGCCCAAAAGGTCGGCCATCTTCGACAGCCATGGAGAGTTCCGCCGATCTGTCCGCCGTGTCAATGTGTTGATGACCGACCAGAGCCTGCCTCAACCGCTGGTCAACGTCCTTTTCGACCGGTTTGCCCACCCGAGGCACAACAAGGTCACCAAGAAGAGCATGAAGCGAGCACTGAAGCGCCTGCATCCTGAAGGCCACAAGCGAAAAAAGAAAGTCAAGAACCTCACCTTTCCTGACTTCTCGCGGGAGATCATGAGAAGTGATCCGCTGGCTGTGGACGACCCGCCTGGCCTGTTTAGCAACTGGACACTTCTGCCGTGGCGAAGGAAGAGCGATGCTTTGGTGGATGCACCACCGTATTCCGTGCCTCAGGCGGTGAGGGTGCCGGGGTGTCGAGCACTGAGGCGACTGCCCACAAAGGTCGTCATGCTTGACGTGGACGGTGAGCGGAGAGCACCAACAGGTGCGTGCAATCGCGTTGTCCGTTTGTTGTCAGGTGTGCTGCATCCTCTGATTGGTCAGCCGAGGTTTCAGGAGGGCAATATGAGGGAGCTGGGCAGGATTGTCAACGAGACAGGGGCCCGGATTGTGCTGTCAAGCACCTGGCGGCTGCTACCAAGGACGACAAGAACGTATGAGCAGACAGAAAAGAGCCGGTCATCTGTCATTGCATCCATAGCCTACATCAACCTGTCTTTTGTCTGCAGTGTGAATCGGAAGCTGGAGGATGCGGGATTAGCGCCCATTGTGGGCAAGACACCTTGCCGACTCGATTTCTGGCAGAGGCACGCCCGGAGTCCACACAGATATGCCATTCCCATACATAGGCGTGTGTGGCCTCCGTTTTTCCTTCCAGGCACAAGGAGATCGTCGATTGGTTGAGGGAAAACCCATACGTGCAGCGTTGGGTAGCTCTAGATGACCATGCGCTAAGTCTGCCTTCAACACACTTCATCCAGTGAGAGCAACAAACGGTACCCACACTGTGCGTCTTGCCATTTGTGTTGCGTTGGATCAGAACGAACGGCATGGTCGGCCTGACATCCAGGGAGGCGGACCGTGCGATCTCGCTTCTGAACGGCTGGACAAGACCGGTGCCGCCGCCAGAGATCTTTGCGCACATAGGGTTGCGTCAGAGGGTCTCTGGGCTGCTGCCTAAACCTTTTCGATGACCTGTCGACGCGTGTCTGTGTGTGTGTGTGGATGGACTCATAACGCTCATGCCTTCATCTGTAACATTTATGTCTTCAGCCAGCCATCCATCACACACAGGGTATGAGCTGAGCAACCTGGCCGGCCCCCCTTCTCAATCCGGGAAACGGTACGCAAGTAGGAGAAGTACGCGAGTAGGAATGTCAAACAGGACAGGAGCTAGGAAAGCACGTTGTGTCTGTGCCTGCCCTCTTGTCTGTCAGCTGATTGCTTTTTTTTGCCTTTGCTTCCCATCGACTTCACTTCCGCCGCCGTCATGCCTTCCTTCGTGCCCGTTGAGCAGGCGGCCTTCGAGGTCGGCCAGCGGATGCAGAACGACCACCAGCTGGTTCAGGAGGCAGAGGAGGCCTTCCGCACCGTCTGCGAGCAGGATGCTGAGATCCAGCTGGCCGCGAGAGATGCGGAGAGGGTCCAGCTGCAGAAGCGCAGAGAGGCGATCCAGCTATTTGGCTCGGGGGAGCGTCAGGACCTGCCGACCTGGTCGGCTGGACGTGCTTGAACTACAAGGTGCGCAAGCACGACGGCTTCGCGCGCTTGCTCAAGGTCAAGGACAGCCGCCTGAAGGGATTCGTCAACGCCACCGATTCAAGAAGGCCTCGCGGGAGAAGCGCTACGACAAGTGCGTGGATCTCCTTTTGCCCGACTACATGTACTGATGTACACGATGCTTGTACTTCCTTGAAGTGCTCTCATGCCTGATGTTGCATGGAAGGGATATGGCAATGCGGGCAATTCGTTATCTCAATCTCTCGATCCCTTTGTTTGTGGTTGGGCGCCCAGAGTTTTTGCTAGAACATGGGACGGTCAGCCAGATCTGTGCTCGTGGGACTTCGTCAATCAGTTCAATCCTCTTGGGGACGCTTCCACGGCAGAATGTCATCTGTACACCGACGGCTATACATCACACACCGGGCCACGGGCGACGCATGTTTTCGTAAACTCCGTCGGCTGGCTGGGGGCGTCCGGCGTCTCGGGGCAGCGAAATTCTCTGTCACACATGGAAACGTCACCAAATCACCTCGACGTCGAACTATCAGACGTCCGCTACACCCCCGACAAGGTAGAGGAGGAGGACTGGTGTCCCGCCACCTTTCTCCCATGTGTTTTTTCTTCAGCTCCTCTTGCTGCTCGACGGAGTGGTCGTGGCCCGACTCAAGCAGCGGTTCTTCAACCAGCCAGACAGGGACGCAGATGGCCGGCGCGCCGTTCGTGACCAGGTTCTCTCAAGAGCACGGCAAAAGCGGAAAAGAAGACGCGACACCGCCCTGAAGGATGGCAAGGTCGCCGCCCTCCGGGATGATGAAGGTACTATAGGATGACTCAAAAGAGCTCTGTACTGAAGTGTTGTTTGCTCATTACACTCAGGGTTGACGCTGATGGAGTTCCTTTCCACGCTGCTTGAGGAGCTTCCCGCCCCGCCACATGAGGAGCTGGAGCTCTGCGAGGGGCTCTGTGGTGGGAGCTCTTGCCTGCATCACTGATGAAAAATGTCATATTTGGAGTGACTCCTGGTCTCCTTCTTTTGCTCATGAACAGAGCTCTTCACAGAAACTGATGAGAACCAGGATCACCGACTGCAGTGGTAGACAGGCAGTGTCACTGGATGACCTCTGCTCCATCGACTGAATGACCTGTGCTTTACAATCTGTTGCAGGCAAAAGTTCACTAACCTCCTCGCCCAGTCGCCTCCCAAGACACACGGCCTGTACCACATCGAAGAGAGGACCACACCTGTCCAGCCCACGTCCGCGGCTGCCCCTCCTGCCACTGATGACAAAGGGGCCTCCCCTCCGCCACAGCGTGCAGATTTGCTCCATCAGCCGTGTCAGCGCTACAAGTGGAGCAAATGTGTCGACAGCTCTCTTCATGGCGGGGAGGAAGGAGGCGTGGAGAAGGCGCGATGGCTCAGTGGCGTCGGCTGCATTGGCGTGTGTGAAACAGGACTTAGTGCGCTGAAGATCTATTCACCACAGCTCAAGCTTGTGCGGGAGCTCAAGCTGCCAGGCACCGGTCAGACAAAAACGCAGAGAGCTGTGTTGCTTGTGTCACCGCCCGGCACAGGCAACTCAGTCCAAGTGTGTCACTGCAGGGTGGTGCCTCGGATGTGCATGCAGTCGCTACACGCCCGGCAGCACCATGGCAGACGAGATGCCTCTGGTCGGCGCCGCAGCCGTCGCCCCGTCCCCCCCTCCCTCCATCGAGACGCGCAGCTCCCCCACCTGCAAACCGCCTCGTGGCACGTTGGTCTTCTGGGACCCTCTTGCAACGTATAAAGTGTCGCTGGCAGTGCCGTGTCCGGTGGTGCAGACGGACATCTGGTGGGTGGGGCTGGGCGGGGGACGAGGCAGGTGGATAACGGCGGGCGTCGACAATCGCCTGAGATTGTGGGACATGAACCCTAGGTTTTCAGCCGCCATGTCTCAGCAGACGGGGCACTTGGCTCTCAGAATGGGGCACTCAGACCGTGTCACTGGACTTGTGGAGCTCTCCAACCGTCAGCAGGTGGTCACTTCAGCGTTGGATGCGCAGGTGATCTTCTGGGACGCCAACTCGATGCAAATCAGCAACAGGTACGTCAACAGAAGAACGCTGGCCAGTCTCTTCAAGGGGACTTGTCGTCTGCTGGCCCCCAGGATCAGAACTGGCCGCGTGGGCATTCACTCAATTGACCACATCGACTGCTATGGATTGCTCGTCACGGCTGGCTTCGAACCAAGTGCGTCTCTCTGGGATCCTCGGACACACTTATACAAACCACTCGTAGGCAGACATGGTGCCTCGGCCATGTGCACTTATTCGCAGCCTACACCCACCCTGTGCTTGTTTGTGTCGGCTGTGGTAGGCAGGTGGGCCGTCTTGGCGGCCATGGTGCGCCTCTCCGCTGCTGTGCTGCGGTGCCCAACACAGCGACAGCTGTCACCTGTGACCAAGCAGACGTCATCAAGCTCTGGGACGTCAGAAAACGCGAGGCAAGTAGACTCTTATGCGCCTGTGAATGAGCGTGAATGGTTGTGTTTTCTTCTTCCCTCTATGGATTTGCAGTGCTACCAGATCATCAGCCCGGTCCATGCGGCTGCGTATTCAGTCGCAGACCGTCACATCCGCGGCATCCACACCCTCATCTGCCTCTCACCCCCGCCCACGCTCACAATCAACGCTGACGGCGAGATAGCGCCAGCAGTGTCACGGGACAAGACTGTGCCTGCGGCTGCTACTGGCGAGGAAGACGATGAGGCAGACGATGACAAAAGCGACCATGAAGGCGACGTTGACATCCACCGGGAGATATTTCAAGACAACGAAGACGAGACCATCAAGCTGCCAAGTGGCCCAGCTCAGGTCCTGACGGCTGGTCGGCGTCTCGGCTTGCTGAGCCACGCCATCCGCGAAAAGAGCACCCGAGAGATTGAGGTCGACCAGCCGCTGTCAATACTCATTAATTACATGACTGCGAAGTTGTGGGTGCTGAAGAGAAAGAGCATCGCCATCTTCAGTCTTGACGACGGAGAGGAGAAGCGGCAGCTGTATCCACTGGGTGACGCTGACGAGACGGGCGACAAGGAGCTGACCTGCTGCTCTCTCGATGGGTGCTGGCAGCGCTTCATCGTTGGCGACGATCGAGGAGGGATCTCGATGCACTTCTGCGGATCAGGTGAAGAACTAAGTTGGTCATCCGACTGACTCACCTGCACGTGTCTCGCCATGTTTGTCATGTCATGCAGGCGAGAGGATCGTCTCCTTGAGGGGCCACGAGGGCTGCGTCGTGGCCGTGATATTCTGCGTCAAGCAGAAGCTCGTTCTGTCCGCTGCCCTCGATGGGATGGTGAGGATATTCTCGGACAAATGGAGGGACAGAAAGGTGCCGCTGGAGAAGATCCTCCCCATAGCCTGTGGAGACATGAGCCTGGTCCTCTCTTCGTCATTTGACGTGGCATTCGCCCCCGACGACTCGAACGAGCTCAGTGTCTGGGACATAGCGCATCCATACGAGCGGACATCGGTCCAGGTCGGTCAATTGAATGGGCTTGTGCACACAAAGTCTGATATTCTTCTGCCCCCCTGCCACACACAGGCTCCCCCGCTGACGAGCTACTACTTGGAGGAGGACCCGACGGCAGAGCCTGAGGAAGAGGACGACAGATTGGAGGGGAACGTATCGACTGCCTGCAGTCTGGAGCCCCTCGACGTCTTGGCAACCACCAGCCACTCTGGACAGGTGGTTTTGTGGAGCCTCAAGGAGGCAAAGGCACCATCTCGGCTGCCGAAACTCACACCAGTCATCGCGTGAGACAGACGGTGGCGGAACGCACCCGTGGCTCAGGTCGTTTTGTATTTGCGTCCTTCTTGCTGGTCAGTCTTCAGATCATTGATGAGGCTCGCGCTGCTGACGTCTTCAGTCCGACTGTCGTGAAGCACACGATTGAGACTCCCCCTCCCCCAGGCGGCACCCAAAGGCCCAGGCCCAGGTCCCTCAGCCCTCTGATGGAAAAGTGTGAGGCGTTGCTGCCCTCGGAATGGTTCAGGGAAGACACGGCCGACACGGACCCACCCATCAGGCAGAGATTGGAAGAGGGAAAGAGCCTCACTGAGAAGACTCATGAGCAGCGATTTCAGCGATTGAAGGCCCTGCTGGACACCCAGCTTTCCGTGTCGCAGCACGAGATGGCCATGAAGGCCCGTGCGACAAGAAAGGCGGCGGGATTGGCTTGGTCGGGGTCGGCCTCGCCCCTGTCGTCGGCAGATGGCGCCAAGGCACATGAATCGGCCGGTGTGAGAGACACACACACAGCCCAGTCAGCGCAGAAAAGGCCCCTGACCACGGCGCAGTCGACTCGGTTCTTTTCTGAGGCTGGAGAGTCGACTGTTCCGGAGGACTCTCCCCCCGCCTCGACAACCTCGACGACGACTGTCCCCCTGAAGCTGCCCGGGCGGGCCTCCCGCCTTTCCGTTACTGGGAGGAAGAGTAAAGGACGGACACAGTCCATCATCGTCGGTGGGTGGCTGGCAGTGAGGACCCTAAAGCCACAACGAGCGAAGCATATGTCTGTTCGATGGTTTGTGAACTGCAGATGTGGCAGAGAAGGTCTTGGTGATAATTGGTGACGCTGAGGGTAAGAAAGGGATCAATCCCCTCGTCGCAAGCTTGGATGGATTTGTGTGTGTGGTGCATGCCAACAGGTTTCATCCGTGTGGTCAATGTGGCGCAGTGGCTTCAGTCATTCGGCCTTTCCCCCTCTCGCCGCACGAGGCCCCAGTACCCGCTGTCTTTCGCTAAAACCCCGGCTGAGGCTGCGGGGGGCAACAATCGAGAGGGCCATCACCCCCCACAAAGACCAGCCATGAAGCCAGCACTCACCCGGCGTCAGTCGTCAGGACTGTCAGGGGACTTCGGACTTTCAGGCGCCAGGCGCCGGTCGTCGCGGAAGCGAACACTTACGTTTGCGTGGGACAAGATGACGGAGACGACGGCGACAGTCACGGCTTTACCATCGCACAAATGGCATGCGCACACGGAGAGGGTCAGCGGGATCGAGGTGCTCATGGGCCGCAAGTACGGCGGGGGAGAGGGACTGGTTACGAGCTCTCTGGACTTCCATGTGAAGATATGGAGTATCAGTGGACAGCTGCTGGGCACCATCGACACGAGACTGTCAACCAACCCCACAAAGTGGACGCTAAATGAACACTTGGCCTTCCGTCGGCCGGCAGCGTTCAGATACCAAGCCAACCGTGCTCTCCAGACCATCTATGGTGGGCCTGACAAGTGGCAAGACAGACTCGACGTAGGTCAACCTATGACGAAGAAAGTAGAGGACGTATGATCTACTCTACTCTTTCTTCAGGGCCACTACCGGCACCGGATCACCGAGGCTGAGCGAGCATTGCGGGAGAGGGAGAGACTCGAGGCGGACATCAAATACACCTTTGAGGCCCCAAGTGACCAAGCCGCTCAGAAGCGCAAAGGTTCTCATCCCCTGCCTGTGGAGTCTTCGTCGCAGCCTCCACATCTGATGTCTGTGTCTCACTCCGAACCTGCAGGCACGCCTGAGAGGAGGATCATAGAGTGGGTGCTGCCCGGCCCGTCATCCTCTCCCCCCTCCCCTCGCCCTTCTCCCGCCACCGAATCAAGCCATGTCATCACGGGGGATGAGGCGCCGATTCTACACAAGGCCAGTCCGCAGTTTGCCCACCGCTCATCCGCTGTCCTGCAGCTCGACCAGAAGCTGCAGCGGGTGACTGACACCTTTCCACAGAAGCGGAGAGTCCTGATGGAAGCGGGCACGGGACCCCAAGGCCTCAAAGACATGTATGTATGGGGACGAAAGAACGCCGAGGAAACGCATCGCATCGCATCGTCTGTGTACGGCGTTTGGTTGTCAGGATGAGTTTGACGTCTTCGCTGACTGGTGGTGGTGGTGGTGCATCGCCGGTACATACGATGGCTGACGTCGCTCGCTTCGCCACCACACTCAAGCCGGCGGTGCAACAACAACAGAACCTTACCGCGTCCCTCCGGTCGGCAGGCGGTGTGGCCAACCAGCGTCGCCAGTCCATTACCCGAGGGTCTGAGGGCTCTATGTTCTCGCGGGCGTCAAGTTTCGTCATGTCGCAAATTGCACAACCGGGTAGCGGGAGAGACGGGCCATGTCTTATGAGCGTGTGACTATGGTCATGCTCTCTTCGGCAGGTCTGTCTTCATTGTCGACCCGGCTGCCGTCTCGTGCGCTCCAGTCGCAGCAGGGCCACACCACCAGTATGCAGCAGATACCTATCCAAGAGATGAGGGTGAAGCCAAAGCAGCAGGAGGACCAGGCATCCGTGGCACAAGACAGCGCTGCCCTCGGCGCCTCCTCCTCTGTGCCCGCTCTTCACTCGGAGCAGCGGCGGCCCGCGTGGGATAAAAGGGACGCCATAGCGCCCTGGCGATCTGTCATCTGCCGGAAAGGCGAGACACGTCGTGTGATGCGCGCATCGGTGTGGAAGCAGATGGACGAGTACCCCATACCCTTGACGGACTATGACAGGCGACCCCCTCCGTCCAGCCGCAGACGGGGGCGGGGTGTAGGGGCTAAGGCAGGCAGGCTGACTTGACGTATGTGTGCAAGAGAGAGGATTTTGGCGATTTGTGAGAGAGAGACGTGCTGGTTTTGCCCTTGTGTGATCTGTGGGATTTGCGTGAGTCTTGTGAGTAGCCAAGGGTGTGTGGATCTTCGATGGACTGTCACAAGGGCGGCAGCCTAGCCCTTGTTGAGCGAGACATAGTCAGTTGACTCATCCACTGATGCATTCCATTCACGCGTTGTCTACCGCCGCAAGCACATACAAGGTCCCCTCCTTCTACCTCGCACCACATATACCATTGGCCGGCACCTTGCGCACGTCTGGCTGTGCTATGCTACACACATGCAATGACTGACTGACGCACCCAACCACCGTCAGCGCCGCACAATCGACTCACACAAGCTATCTGCAGACAGCCATCCCCGGCCCACCCCCTCACTGGCCCCCCGCCCCGGCCTCGTCTGAGTCACGCTGATCTGCGTGCTCCTCACTCGCTGCCGCTCTGCCGCCCTCGCCACCCTCCTCATTGCTGTCATCGTCGTGCACCGAGAAGTCGATGCCGCTGCACATTGCCAACCAACGACATCCACAGCAATTAATCGAGTTAACCGGTTGACGGGCGCCCATCCCTTCCCATGGATTTGTCCTGGTGAATGCATGTTCTTTACTCACCTGGCGGCGCCGCCGACGAGCAGGAGTGCCAGGTCGGTGATGTCCTGGTCACACTTGGCCTTTCTTGCCTTGCGCTGCAGCCATTTGAGGAAGTCGAGCTGGTCCTGCCAGAGGTCCTTCATCTTGGGCCGCAGCTGGCGGAACACGTCCATGGCCACCTCCAGGTTGAACCGGTCGGGGTGCGACCCCCACGTCGCATCGAAGTCAGCCGTCATCGTCTGGAAAAACTGGTGGACACACAAAATACCATACCACATCACACACGTGTGGTCATTCCTCTCTCTGTCTCTCTCCACTGGCTGGCTGTGTGTGTACCTGGAAGACCTTCCGTGGCCCCCACTGTTTGCGGTCTTTGGCAAAGGGTCTGTGGTACTTGAGGAGGATCCTGAACCGGCTGTTGACGCGGAACGACGTGCGAAAAACCTGTGGGATGGTGGACGGCAACACACACACAGCCGGTGTTTTTACTTTGATGTGCCTGTCCTGTCTGCGGAAGGAAGACCTGGAAGTCCTCGAAGAGGGGCAGGAAGAGGCTGAGCATCAGGAGGTCCTGGTACCGCAGCGTCATGACCAGCAGCATGTGGCCGCCCTCGCGCAGGAATGTCAGGGCCAGCCGGTAGACGTTGCGCGTCAGCCGCATGCGGTAGTTTCGCTGCTGGTCGTCCTCCTTGGTGACGACGTCCTGCTGCCCGCGGTGGATGATGGCGCCGTGGTGCACTACATCGAAGAGGGGCACGTCCCCGCCCCTGCCGTGGTGGTGCCGCCCGCCGCCCGCCCGGTGCTCCTCGAGTGAGCGCTGGATGACGGGCTTGAGTCGCTCGAAGGCGTCCTCGGTGCTGAGGTCGTCCCAGAGGAGGTTGATGGACTGCTTGTTGCGGTAGACCATCTGCATCCCGTGCATGTGCGGCGGCAGCGTGATGCCCGTCACCTTGGCACGGCAGTCCTCACACCAGAACTTCACCGCACCGCCTGGCGCAGCACCGAACTCGAGGACACACGCGTTGCGGGGCAGCTCGCGCGTCTCCTTGGGCTCGTAGAAGGCCAAGTTGGGCATGCCCACGCGATACGAATCGTAGTATGACGCCTGCAGACACGACACGCACACAAGACACGCAGCCGACAAGTGATGTGTCTGCACATGATCTGTGTGTGTGAGTTGGCTGAGGACGCACCACATGGTCGAAGTGGCCGGTCGCCCCGCGCCCCCTGATGTCCCGGTTGCTGAAGATCTGCTTGCGGCGGTCCCACACGGCGCCGAACTGCTCGTCCTGCCACCCCTGGTCACGAACCTGCGTCAGCTCGGCATACAACCTGATAAATGGGGAAGGGGAATGTATGGCACACAGACAGGATCAGGTCTACAGACTCACACCATACCATGGATGTTGTGTGTCATCTATCTCATCATTCACTTACGAATCCTCCTCACACATCCATGCGGACAATATCTCGTTCTCAGCCTCGCTGCAGACAGACGACAGACACGACAAGCAGCCGCACACAATACAACACATCACATCAGCCCGTTGCGGGTGGTGCGGTGCACTGATGAATGTGATTGCACCCTTTCTCGCTTGTCTCGAACTTTTGGAACTCATCGGTCTCTGCGTGGTGGGGGTGCTGCCCGTTGGCCTGGTGCGATGGGGAATCGGCCGACCCATCCTGCGAATGAGTCGCATCCTCCTGATGCGGGATATCCGCTGGCTCTTCTGCCGTCGCCATTGGTCTACGGATGCCTTGTCCTGCCCCTGCCCCTGCCCCTTTCCTTTCGTCTCCTGCTTTCTTGCGAGCTGTTGTGCTCCTGTCGATCTCGCAACAGATCTGATCCCTCCCCGCAACAGAGGCAGCTACGGGCATCTTTGAGCACTGGCCTTCATCCTTTCAGCACGAGGGACTCGCCGCACCGGTGCACCCAGTTTGGCCGCCTGCCGAGCGGCTTGACGGCATCTGATTCATTCATCGTGCCACCTGTCGTCCCTCACTCACTTCCCTCTGACCCTGTTGGTTGTATCGCCTCGCATCGCCTCCATTGATGCCTGCGATATATCATGTGGAAGGATGCCCAGTACAGACCGACGCGGCTCGGCGGGAAGATCCACAGGAAGGTGGCCTTCTGGCAGAAGGTCGAGTCCACCTACTGGAACCCGCTGCTGCTCTTCATCAACCTGCCCATTTACGGCGTATTCTACTGGCTGGCGCCCTGGGCGAGGCCGTTCGAGCTGCCTGGCGATGCGGGGGAGGAGCGGCCCGGGGAGCACCGGGTCACAGTGGGGTGCATCAAGAAGATCTACCGGCAGAAGTACCGCAACAGGAAGGACTACATCTTCCAAATCATATCCCCCGAGTCTTTCTGGTACGAGAACCCCGTGGTGGCCTTCCGCGGCAAGCTGCCCTTCATCGCCTGGACCGTCCTGCTCAAACCGCAGTTTGAAGGTATGGATGGATGGTATGGGCTGCGGTGACGAAAAATGACTGAGTGAAGAAGGCCAGACCAGACCAGACCAGACGAGGTAGTCTTCATTCATTGTGCTCTTCTGTGCGTGTGTGTGTGTGTGTGTGATGCACACAGCTGAGTTGGTGGATTGGTACGTCAAGACGTACCAGAAGGCCATCGTGATCCACTGCAAGTTCAGATACACTCACAGACGGCTCACCTGGTGGACATTCGAACTCCCAAGTGAGCCACACACCGCAGACAGACACACACTCACCTAACCCACACACATGGCTGGCCGTCTGTTGGCCTCTGCTATCATATCAACCACATGCCATGCCATCGATGTGTTGGTTGCTATGTGTGTGTGGACGGCTGGATGTGATGTGCGGATGGATCAGACACGATATACTGTCAGCTGGATGCCAACGGTCTGGTAACTCGGTGGTTGGAGCAGTGGCACGGTCTGCAGCTGCTCTTCCTCACCTGGCTGGTCCCCGTGCACAAGTGGATCATATTCGGATTCCCTATCACAACCGCCGCCGTCTGGTTCAACCGCTTCTGACAATGTGACCCCCTCCCGCCATCTGCAGTAATGGGATCGAATGGCCGGCTTGAAAGGGGGAGGGAGATGAGTCTCTCTAGTGCCTTGAGCGAGTGGCATTTGGAATGAGTGGATCATGAGCATGTGCGTGGCCGTGTCTGTCTGACTGAGAGGCCAGCAGAGGGGAGGGAGGTAGGGGAATCGACGATTGGGGACTCGGGTGCTGCTGAATGAATTGTTCACGTTGATTGCTGTACAGTACAAGAGTGTTGGGCTTCCAGTCGCACACACACGAAGACACAAATATATAAGGGGTCGACGGAAGCACGCCAGGCAGCCTTGTCGGTGCTGTTAACTGTGGTGCATGAATCCATCAACACCCCCAGCTCCTCAACGATGGAGTGGGACTGCAAGGTGCGCGCCTGGTGCAGGGCAAGGCCACACACACCTGCAGTGCCATGCCCTTGTCAGCTGCCGGCAGATGGATGGATGGATGCACTATTCACTCGTGCAGCACACCAAACAGGCTGTCTATCTGTCTATCTATCGACATACAGACCAACACGGAAATAAAAAGCTTCCCCACACGCATTGCATTGCATCTGCTCTCGGCTGGGTGTCGGTCAACAGTCGCCGACATGACATAGATGGACAAACACACAAATCCCCTTTCAATACACACAGGCACACTGGCACACAGGCAGGCAGGCAGACATGGGAGGCCACGGTGAAAACCCAAATAAACGTCACATGCATCCATTAGTGCCCCCACTAACCATGCCGTCTGTCTGTCTGTCTGTCTGTGGTTCGCTCCCCTTTCCCTCTGTTGCTCCCTTGGTAAGTGGTAAGTCGTCAGTCACACCCATGGGGTCCACCCGCCGTACATGAGGCAGAGATTCCCCTTGTCCATGGCCGCCTGCATCAGCTCATCCACCTGACACTCTATCGACAACAATCCTCCACGGTCCTGCACACACACACACACACACACACACACAGGCATACACACAAATGCCAATCACTCCATCCATCCATCCATCTGACACAACAGCCAGCCATGCATCTTCCTTCATCCGATGCCCACCTGCCCGGCGCTTGCAGCGGGTCTGTCCGACACGGTCTCTCTGCGACTGAGCACATTGCCGCTGCCGTGTGTGTGGTGTGGGTGGTGGGGCTGCTGGCCGTCAGGTGGCACGTAGTCCTTTGGTGGTCCGATGGGCGCGAAGTTGACCATGCCTCTGAGTTTCTTCTGGACCTGGTTGACGGACTGCTCGATGCGGTGCTCCAGGAGCATGACCTCCACCTCCTTGGCGTCAAACCCCACCATCGTCGTGGGCAGCTGACGCTTGGCCGCACGCTCAGCCTCACTCATCCAGTCGAACAACGGGTCGTACAGAAAACCCTGAGTGAGCCAACACACGCAGCGTGTGTGTGTGTGTGTGTGTGTTGTGGTACCTCGAAGACGGAGAGCAGGGTGTCTTTGTTGTCTCTGAGGACCTTCATGATCTTCTCGCACTGCAGGCGGAAGGGCCCCTCGATGCCCAGCGCACCCAGGCCGCTCACCACGTTGGGCGTCAGCCGAAACGGCACCACCTGCATTATCATGGACACACACACACACACACACACATGCACACACACAAGGATGCAGTGGGTGCATCCGTATGTGTGTCTCATGTGAGTGGGCCTTCGTCAATCGTTTGTTCTGCCCGTTCCTACCTCAGGGATGCACAGCTCGAGTCCTTTGCCGAAGATGCAGTCGAAGTCGACGTGCACCACCCCGCCACTCACCGTGTCCAACAAAATGTTGTCAGTGTGCCTGCAACAAACACCACACATCCCGTCAGTGGCTGCACTGCACACCCCGCCCCCCCCCCCCCCCCCC